TTGTTGTTGTTGTTGTTGTTGTTGTTGTTGTTGTTGTTGTTGTTGTTGTTGTTGTTGTTGTTGTTGTTGTTGTTGTTGATGATGATGCATTATCATTATCATTATCATCCCTCGTGCGCCCGACCGGGATCAACTGCCCGATTATTGGTTCTGGCGGGACTAGTCAGGCACACCCGCCAGCATTGGATATGCAGGTACACAACAGTTACTATTATTACTGCTACACAAGTTACTTGAGTATTTACTGCAGACGGAGATATTCTCCCGTCGCGAGACTAGAAAACCTATTTCCCACTTCTGACCTTGCCGAACATCTCTCCTACATCATCAGTCCCATCTATTTATAGGCCGGACCACTATGTAGATAAGTATCTAATTTGTATCATCCTAAATTCTCACATGACTCGTGGCCGTTTCATCGGCCCCACTGGGAATGCATCACATTGCTGATTGGTGGATAGCTCTGCGAGCCTCAGGCACTTCAAACCACGCCGGGACTGACGTAACCCCCCCTGCCATCATAACTAACTTAATTAACTAACTACCCGACTAAACCAATTAAGGACTAGATAGTAAGTAATTATACCAATTGAGCTGAGAACCAACCATGACAACGAGTCGATAACAATGTCGGTCAATTCTTATTATCATAATACTACTAGTTATGGGAATTTTAAGTAAGATTGTCTAGTCCAGTTATTGAAGGAGCACAGAAGTACTACTAGGAATAGTACCGCGACTTAGTAGTTGTAGTTGTTACTACCATCGCGACTTCGACTTCAATCAAAGCACTGGCATTATATATACTACCTTTGCAGACGAAAATGTTCAATGCTGGCAATCTAAGTACAGTAATAGGAGAGAGAAAACAATAGGCCCGAAAAGAGATTTATATATTAGAGTAGAGAGAGGGAGAGAGACCAAGATAAAGTGAAGGAAAACCATAAAAAAAATGAAAAGAAAAAAAAAACAATAAAATAAAATAAAAAAACTCGAATTATTGCTTGTATAGACATTAAACATTAGGGAGATGTAGAAACAGATAGTAGTCGTATGGGAGAGAAGAAAAGAACAAAATAGAAAAGAAATAAAGCAAAACTCCAAGACAACTCCAGCAGATACCAATCTATATGGGATGTTTTGAAACACATACTTACCACTCATCGCATAACAGTCCGCAAATCGCACGAGAGAGACTCACCCTTTCAATTACCCGCACGCTCACTCCATATTCTAGGAACCATTTTTTGGGCCAACACCTTACATTTAGTATGCACTGAGATTTCCAGGTACCCCTTCACACGAAATGTCGCAGTCACAGAGATGCATTGATGCGAGTATACACCGCCTGCAGCAGCAGGTTGTAGGGCGCGTTCGTCGGCGGGTATGTCAGACAAATTGCAGGTCAACCGGGCCAGTACGCGCGAATCTGCAGTTTCGTTGCGCCAGAGTCAGTGCTGTTATTGGTAACATGGCGGGACACAGCTTACTTTGGCCATCGCTCATCTTCAGAAAGAACGTTTTGACAGGGGGCTCCCCCGGGCGACTATAAAGATGAAATACAGTCTTGTAGGGTCTATCTTCCTCGTAGACATGGCCCTGGTGAGGAGTTAGCAAAGAACACCTCATTACCGAGAAGGCAAATGAGAAGAATGTTCTCTCTCTCTCTTCTCCAACAACTTACCTTGACCAAAATCTGTTGGGGTTTAGCGGGCGCATCGGGCTCATCAATGAAAGCTTGCAGACATATTCCGGGTTCCTCCCGTAATCCTGAGCATTCGATGAAGTAACTCTTGTTACATGTCTGGTTTTTCGTGACGATGCCGCTCAGGCCCTTTCGCGCAGCACCGAGAGATGCAGATAGTTCACTGCCTTTGGATCAGCATGTAGCACGCCTCAAAACCTCTGAAACTCACGGTGCTTGGGAAAACAAGATCCTGGAAAATCCTGCATCTTTGAACCCCTCCGAAAATGCCTCCCGCGCAAATTCAGAGCGCATCAGCCCCCCAGTCATCAACAATTCCTGCAGGTCAGTTAGCTTAGAATCAAGGGGATTACTCAGAACCTGAACGTACATCGATCTTGAAGTGGCCACGAGTGGCTTTGTCCACCTGATCGTTCACATGATGGAAGACTTGGCCGACAACGGTGTCAAAAAATGCCCGCATATCGCTGTCGGACAAGATTATATGACCCGTCGTTGAGTCATACCATTGCGACGTAAAGCATTCCATCCGGAATTCAAGACGATGGCTACTTCCATCTCCAGTGAACTCTTCCTTTCTGTTTTTGAAATCGTTCATGAGAATTTCTCTGCGATCAGAATTGACGTCGTTGAACGGATTTATGAAGGAGGCGTTGAAGCGATGCCTCATGAGCTTCAAGAACTCTCTGTCAATGATGGTACTCCCAGACTTGGGGCCTATGGTGGATGCATTAGATCTTCGTTTGTAGACAAACCAGTGAAAGAACATCCTTACCTATGGCACTGCTCAGTTCCGTGAGTGAATACGATGTTGCAGTTACATCCGTGATCATATAGCAGGAGATGTCCTAGCTTCTTGTCAGGATATGAAACGTTGAACAATCGCGCATATTCTACTCACAACCGTGCCCCCGCCCACGTCACACACGCAAAATGTGCTTCCGGACTATTGACACAATCTTTCATTAGCCAGAAATATTCCCTGAGGTCAAGTAGGCACACGTACGAACCTTTCTTCGTTCCCCAGATGCCTCTAGGATGGATATCGCGGACGCCTCGCTTTCAGTAACAAGGCAAACTTCCTCATTCGGTTTTTGACCAAACCCGGCCAAGTGGATAGCCTCACTCATCCGCACTTGTGCATCGTTGGACCAGCCCGCCGGAATGGAAAACCAGTACTCCTTTTTGATGTTTGGTTGACTAAAAATGTACGACTGCTCCAGGTAGTTACGGATCCCGCTGAGGTAGTCGGCAACGACACGCACGGCCGACTTTCCGGCTGGCAGCCGCATGATCCGTTGTCTCGATACCCTCTCCAATTCCTCGTCCCGGAAATCTGTTGACTCCAAGTCTGGGTCTAACAGGAGTTTGGTCCACCTGAAAGTTTCGAGCTCAGGTGTAGCCTCTACTCCCCATCGAGGTTGCATGCCACTTGGGTACTGCATTGTCGATGGCAGTTTGGCCCGGGATTGAACTGGCCATTCATCCACTTGATAGATGGGTGAATCTATGCTTTGCTCGTCAGTACCATAGCCCCAAGCAGCGGCTTAGGTACGGTTAGCTTCATGCATGATGTATAAAAGCTTGGGAACCGTCAACTCACCGGTACCCGTCGTGCCGTAGTCAATACCACAGACTAATTTTGACTTGGCCTGTGACATATTGTTACTGGCTCATCTTAGGGCTCACTTGTAGACCTTGGTATATTGACTGTAACGAACACTCGTATGATAAGGGGACTTGAAAATGGCAATTCTGAACTGGGGGCTGGGGTTGGGGTGTGGAAGTGGAGATATCGCTGACACTGAAAAGCATCCAAGAGGGGGGGAAAGGAGGAGAAAGCAGAGATAGATTGTATTGCCCTTTCATGTGTCCCATGCTGCCCAACACTTAAACCGTCTGCTAGCTCTCTGAAGAGGGCGGGCAATTGTCTCGGAGGGAAAACTGGCCGTCCCGGCAGATACGAGGCTGGCTGATCACTAGTCTGGAGACCTCCCATACCTGATAGGCCTGTTCTCACTCGGCTGTCTCAGGGTAGAAGGTATCAGGAGGACGAGGGGGGTAATAGAGAGAGAATGGGAGAGAATTGAGTTACACCTTTGAAGGTCTAGATGCTCCATCTTGCGTGTTGGTTGTCAAGGGGAAGAACGGGGAACAAAGCCACTGGACCTCTTTCCAATTCCTGGTTTCTCTAACGCCCTCTCATCGTCTCCCCACGTTACAATAACTTCTTCATTGCCCCTTGGTCTTTCTCTAATTTCATCGTCTACTTCTCATTTACCTGTCTTCCTCAGCTTTGCCTCTCTGCACAGCTCTGAACCGCCGACATGGATAAGACTTCTGTTCAGGTAAGTATCCTTTCGGGCTCAGACTCAAAGACCCTCTTGTAAATTCTAGAATGCAGACATCGGGCACACGCTGATTGAACTTCTTTCTTATAGGAGGCATCCTCCCCCGCCGATACCGACCGTAATTCCGACCGTCATGCTTCAGAAGACGAAAGCCCACCCCAGATTGAGGACGTCGAAGCCCTCAAGGCCGAAGTTGCCTTTCTCCGGGACAAACTGGAGATTCTTCAGGGAAAAGCTTCGCTCGACTTCAAGTTGCAAATGCAGATGCTTACTGCCGGGGCCACGGGCTGGCCAGATTATGATTTCGAGGTCTTGGGGGACCACATCCGCCGGGTTATGTATCGCATAGAACATTGGTGCCAACAACATGCCCGGCAAGGTATGCCTGATACCGTTGAACTGCATGACTTGGAAAAGCAAGCCATCATTCATAGCCTAGAAGGCTATTGGGTCCAAGATTTGGAATGGGATACACTGATGAAGTCTCTTCCCTACCCTTTCTCTCTGTATATGTCGGAGGTGCTCGCTCAGAGCATCTTGACAAAGAAAATCGTGGATAAGTTCTTTGTCAACCCATTTTGGTACCTTGAAGGAGAAGGTCTCGATCGGCAGGATCATACGACGGGCTCAGTCTCCTGTGCACAGAATCTGCAACATCTGTACCGACGATTTTTAGAAAGTGGGAACTTCTCTTCCGCATCCTTCTATATCCTCATCTGATGCTGACCAGGACTGCAGCGAATGGCATCAGAGCCACCATTTGGAAGAAAGAAACCGTCCGTCTGTTAAATTCGGTCAAGTTAGTCCAAGCACCCAATCTCGAGCTCGGTCGGCAGACAAAGGAATATCGCACAAACGCTGTCGCTTTGTTCGCCTCCACCCTACTTTCCGACGTCTTTTTCCAGAGGCTATTAAAAAGTGTGGATTGCGACGAAGCGACGAAGCGAGAGGACAGTCTTCTGGAGTTATGCAAATTTGCTGATGAGACAGCAATTACCCTCGGCTCCAATCAGGGACATTGTGTGTATAAGACACTGCAGACTATGGGAACCACCTTTGATCCGAGATCCCACGAAGCGACATTCCATAACCTCCATAATGTCCGGGGTAATGCTGACGATGCCAGATTGGCTGGCCGTCGCATCCTAGGTATAATCCAGCCGGCTGTAATACTAAAGCTAAGGACTCTGAGGTGTGACGAAAACGTCTTGATTAAAGCCAAGCTATTGGTGGAACATGGTGACTACACCGAGGAAGATCATGAGCGAGAGCGACCAAAGCCTTCTGCAAAAACCCTTGAAGAGGTTGAGACGGAAGAAGAATAAGTAAGGGAGATATTGAAGTTCAGGACTGTGTCTGTAGTATCTTTGTTATATATCGTTTTGTCTATAATTGCCCCAGACTGTCGAATGTTTTAATGCAGTGATTTGTTATTTCTGTATATTCCTCGCCTCATCACTCCTATTCATTACAAACCATTCTCATTAGGAACACTTTGCTTCTCTTTCTACGGCAAAGCAATTTTCAAGTCATTCGTTATCAATCTATCTCACGCAAGTAGTAAAATGAAATGGAATTTAACAATGAGATCGATAAATTCGGTGTCTCTAGCGCAATGCTGCTCGGTTATACACAGATGCCTAAGAAGCCCGAATCAGAGCCGTTGCCCTGCCCTAGAGCAACTACGCAATACGACTTTTATCCACAAATCCACAGGGGACGAATTACTATACAGTGAATGATATAATCAGTAATAAACGAGCCTCACACAACAGACAGTAGGAGATTTCCAATTTTGGCCTCTGTCTTCGAAATCTTCAAAGTAATAATCGACTCCAATATGTCCGTCCGAGAGAAAGGTTTCCAAGAAGATGCCGCCGGAGAGTTTGGATTGGATTGGTTCCAACGCTGGAGTTTAATGCTCGGAGTGACAAGTCTCCGAATATCCCGTTCTTACAGGTCCAATGAAATATGGTTTCGGGGTCTTTCGTACTACTAGTACTTATGCTCGCGCTGTGATTTGAGGGGGACACGTAGTATGGGAGGTGGTAAACGGATCTGCTGTTTGTCTAGAACACTACACAGCCGCCTCCCCCCCACCATCTTCTCCTTTATTAAACTCTACATCAAAGGTAGCTATTAACGTTCGATGTGACGAATATAGGATGAAGCCTGACAAAGACAGGGTTCGCGGCGTCCCCTCGACCCTCCTTCACCCTGTCAAAGATGTCAGGTTCCCTGCCGAGAGCACTACTACCACTAACAACAAGTGTAATTTTTGAAGTCGTACTTGTGGCAATTACATAAGCTCAGTAATGGTATTCTTCCTATTCTTACTATCATTGTTAGTTATTACTATTATTATCTTTCCTGTTGCTGCTTTCAACATGTGCATCTTGTGGCAAATTGAATTAGTGTTTGTATGGCCAACAAGGTCAAATGTAATGATACTCATATCGAAGATTGTCTTTTACTTCTCGCGATGGCTAGAAAAATTAATAATTATATATGTACAGTAAGAATCTTTCGATACGTCATTAGAAATTTTTGGGGAAAATCCTGCTTATCAGCGCAGACTCGAGAGGGAAACGACTGCGTCACATTGAAACCAGCAGAGTAATTATTTAAGGATTGAAAGGTAATATAGATGATGATAATAATGAAACTATCAGCACTGCCGTGACTTCGATAGAATTAACGATGGCCTTGATGATAAAAAAAATAAAATAAGAAAATAAAAAAAAAAAATAAAGAAAGAAAAGTGAATAAAGAAAGTGAACAATTCTAGATTTACAAAATAAGCTGCGGTACAACAGGCACGCACACCGAAAAGAAATCTTAGTGAGACTGAGAGTCGACGTTCCTTTATGAGGGTGCCATAACTATTTGCATCATAGTAGGTAGGCTTTATGTGGGCATTGTTTGAGATGAGTTAGTCCCGTCGTTCTCATTCTTTGTCCCAAAGGACTCTCTAAGCATTGCCTCCGCCACCCAGTATGCTGATGTGGATGTTTACCGGTCGGTTCATTCACCCCGTGACAACAGTCCCCGATAACATGGGGATAGATTAATGTTCGTATCAGCTTACTGATAAAGAAGGACGTAATTAAAGCGAAGCATGTTGATTTCAGGACTCAGATAACAATTTGGTTTACTCCATACTGGGTCCTGACTGATCCGATGAATACTCAAAGAAATATCCTCCAAAAAAACAGTCTCGCCGTCCATTCATTAGCAACGAAATAAATGAGTAATGGAAATATCAAAAATAAAATAAATAATAAAATCAAATATGAAGAAGGAAGTCTCAGGGATAAGAGAAAAAGTGTGAGTGAAACAAGGAATGAAAGAAGAAGATGGCAAACTAAAACTTAGAAAAAAGAAAGAAATTCGCGAACTAGGTAACAAACGAAATACGAAATATGAAAACACGCTACACGCTACAGTAAAGCGGTTTACCGAGGCTGAACAAACCGGGTGCAGCGTTTGCTCATCCATGTCTTGTTGAAAACCCAACCATCCAGCTAGCCAGCTGGGCCGCGCAGCGACATCTCGAGCAATTTATGCCCAAACTGTATAGACCTTGCAATTGCCACAATCGATTCCGCCTACTAAACATTGAAAGCTCAACTCCCCTTTCTTGAGACAGAGGGTGGCCTGTACATTAACAAGAATTTGGAAGAATGTGTGCCCCTCGTTGTCATTTATGTGAGGGTGGCGGCTCAAGTCAACCTGAGACAGACCGAGTTGAACATAGTCGAGTAGTTTTGAATGAACCGGGTTGAGCAATTCGGGCTTCGAGCGTGGGCTGGGATCGTCGACGGAGTAGATAGCAATCGGTTTGATCAACGGCATGTTGTGCTGATGCAGAAGCTCGAATCCCCAGGTGTACTGCTCAACCGCCTGGTACTGGTTATTCTTCTTGAATATCCAGGTGATCGGCGCCTTTTCTTCGCTGTGCATCAGGTCCAATCGCTCTTTTATGGGTCGCTCCCGGCCTGCCTTTTTGAGGAATGGCATGAAGTCGTCATGGTGCATTCCGTAAGTGCGGGCGCAATTCACCATGGTATATGACACATCGAAAACACCTAGAAGGGCCGACCCGTAGGCCGTCGCAATGGCAGGGTTGTCCGGGACGGTTAGCTGCACATTTCGCTGCTCACAGAAGACCTTGAACACGCTCTTGGCATAGGGAGAGGCAGCGAACCCTCCAGTGATAAACAAGTGGGAGACCTGATGGCCTCCATATTTTCGACACATCATATCAACCTCGTTGAGTTGATCGCCCATTATCTGGATAGAACTCTTAATGGTCGGCTCAAGAAACATCTTCATATCGCCGACAGAAAGTAGGACCTCTCCAGTTTGAGCGTCGTAATGGCGGTGAGCGTCATCAGGGAGTGAAACCACATCCATGTTCAAAACCAGCCTACGGATTCCCCCGGTGCCATCAAAAGTCTCTTTCAATTCCGTAAATTTGGCCATAAATTGGCCTGCCATACCGCCATTGTCATCGAAAACTTTGGCGAACACCTCCGGAAATCTTGCACGCATCGTTGCAAGAAAGAATATGTCGACCTGAATTGCACCACCGATATGACCTGTGAATGTGAGAAGAGAACTTAACTGACACAAGTCGAAGCTGGACATACCGGAGGACTTGCTCAAGGGTTCCAGTACCCAAGCTGGATTCTTCGACACCACCCAGTAACAGACTGAATCCTAGGCAATGGTCAGGGAACCAATTTGGAAGTCTCTGCTGGGGAGATACTCACAATGGTGCATCCGCCTATGTCGCAGATGCAAAAGATTTCGCCGACCTGTTGGTCCAAAATGCCCTCGTCAGCGAGTTCGGTCTCCCTGGATCCCTCGCAGCCCTTCACTAACCTGAACCATATCGCTTTTCTGCTCTAACACATAGCGGGCCGACGCATCCGACTCAGAACTGAGAAAAACGTTCTCCAGACCTATAGTGTCGAATCCGGCTTGGGAAATGGCCGTCCGCATGGCCATATGAGCTTCCTCTTCCCAGGCTACGGCGGTAGAAAAACGGAATTGTACAAGCGTCTCGTCAGTAAGAAGACAAAGAGATGTCAAATGGTCTGAATGAACTGACGTATCCGTCCGAGAAAATCTCCGACCATGTCCACGGCGGTCTTTTCCGGCGCTTCCTGTAGCAGACTTTGATATGTCAAGCTTGCGAACGACTCGTTCAGGGGCCCAGTAGGGCGGCCTTTAGGGTCTAATAAAAGCTTAAACCATGCGTAAGTTGGGGGATAGGTGTAGGCACACCAGCCCCACCGAGGCTCCCTTCCCGGGTAGCTTATGTTTGTCGGGACTTTTAAGGCTTTTCTTCCAGGCCAATCCTCGATGACCTGAAATTCGGGCTCTTCGTTCAGTATCATATGGGCTACAACGACGCCTGGAATCACTTAGTTCCTGCACGAAGCTCCTGGTTCAAATGCCGACACTCACCAGTGAACGTTATACCAACATCCACACCTACGACTATCTTATTTGTGAAGTGGGCCATAATGAGAGCTGACGGGCAAAGATGCACAGAAGTGGGTACAGAAGATGAGGTAAATGGATCGATGACAAGCAGTTTAGATGAACGATGATTAGAGTCAGATGTTAAGAAATGAAGACAGGAAAGTTAACGAGAAAGCAAGATGAGGAACCTGGGAATGGGAATGGGGATGGGGTATTTATCACCGTCTGTTGGTCCCTCCCCAAGCCCTCAATAGTGGCTCTCTTGCAGCTCGTCATGCTCGATGGGTCGGGTTTCCAGGCCAAAGCGTCTCGGAAACCCGCCACCCCCGGCCTGGCGGCCAGGGAGCTGATAGGCCTAAGAAGGTTGCAATGTCTCGGAAGGTTTTTCATCGCTTGAGACCCAACGAGATATCATAGGCTGGTATGCTCGTACAGTCCGTTTAGAAACAGGTTAGTAGGTAAGGCGAGCCAGAAGAAGAGAGCCAGAAGAAGAGAGCCAGAAGAAGAGAGCCAGAAGAAGAGAGCCAGAAGAAGAGAGCGAGAAGAAAGGAAAGAAGAGAGGACAAAGAAGCCCCTTTTGCCCCGTTATGGACAACATATTTGCTCATTAAGTCCGGCTCTTTCATCGCGGTTGTTTGTTCCAAAATCTCTTAAGTATCACCCTACTTCCTGCCCAGGGTTCGAATCGACTTCTGTCATCACTCAGCTCTTAGGAAAGGAATTCTTTAAGCTCGAAATTCATCATCGTCTCAGCGTCATGGGAAAAAGAAAGGAAGTCAAGGTGAGCATATTGATCTCGGAAGTTTTGCATTCGTCAGCTGGTCTCTGAATATCCCCTTCATCATTGAAGGCACCATCCTCCAAAGCATCTTCGCCGCCCCATGTTCCCGACGACACGAACCCGGCTCCAACCCTGAATCAGTCAGAGAGATATAAAGATACCGATGTACTCCAGGTCAAGATCGATCATCTGCAGGCTGAAATAGATGAGTTAAAGAGAGACCGTCAAGAGAAAATGTGGCTGGCAGTCTTTGGGGGGCGCGGCTGGCCAAAGCCTATCATCGATTACAAGGATGCGTTTAACTCTCTCTTCATCACGGCGAACTGGTGGGCGGATGATTATGTGAAAAGATATACGGCTGCGCTGGCCGAATTCGCTCCCGGTGAGAAACGAAGTATTCTCCAGAGCCTGGATGGCTACTGTGTACAGGATTTGGACTGGGATACTTTTCTAAAGTCTCTGCCGTATCCGATCCGTACTTTCATACCCCTTGCCCTCGCCCGAACGATGCTCGTAAAGGACATATTCGATAAATTCTTCGAGAATCCTTTTTGGTACTTTGAGGGCAAGACAGAAGCGATAGACGTTGAGCCTCAAGCACAGAGTTCGCTGTCGTTTGCACAACATCTGCAGCATCTGTATGAGCAGTTTCTGATTGGTGAGGCCACCAATATCTTCACGTACCTAGGTTCCCTAACCGCCTAGTCTCACTGTTGACTTGTTATTGAATAGTGAATCCCAAGTCTGCCAGCCTGTGGAAAACCGAGACCGTTCGTCTTGCGAACTCCGTCAATGATAAACAGGCCGACAACACTGAGATGGGCCGGCATACAAAGAGTCGACGTGAGGAATTGACTCGATCATTCGCTTCCGCCATGCTGAAACATCCACCATTTCAGATGCTACTTGAAAACTGTGAAGACACCGCTGTGCGGGAGGCAAAGCTTGTCCAATTCTACGAGAAAGCCGAAAAGTTGGCTATCAGTCTCGGCTCTTCTCATGGTATCTGTACGTATCGAAACCTCACGAAGTTGGCCTCGCCCTTGTTCTGGCGAGGGGATCAATTCGTGACTGCAGAGGAGCGTCATATCTACCTGCCGCACCAGCCTAGACTGGACGGAAATCGTATTCTGTTCATCTTGCAACCTGCAGTGTCACGCACGGGAGCGGCAATCCCCGACGGTCAATTAGAATCCTGGGCTCAGGCTGTCGCAGTGATTGAGGATGGCGACTGTACAGAAGAAGTGTACCACGAGTTGCAACAAGAACGGGAAGCTGAGGCGGGTAAGGTCTACAGAGAGAAACAGGAGGTAATGGCGAAGCACCAGGCTGCCTGGGAACGGGAACGACGAGAGAAGCAAAACGAGGGCAAAAGAGTGGAGGAAGAGACACAGAGAGAAGAGGTGGGAAAGATTATAGAAGGAAGCCCAGGGAAGCAGGAGGATGAGGAAGGAGCAGGTGAAGATACGGAAAGACCGGCACCCAAGCGAGCACGAAGAACAAGAGGAGCAACAGGGAAAGAGTCAGGCCAGCAGGTAAAAGAGGAGAAAGGGAAAGAAGAGACGAAGAAAACAAGAGGACGCCGGGCAAACAGAGGAAAGACTACCAAATGAGGGTTGCTGCTAGTGAGACGGTAGGATGAGTATTGCGCATTCTGATCCTAGTCCTGATAATTCTTCACGATAGTAATTGTGGTTATTTATTATCTTACAGTATGAAGTCTGTTCTTTATTCAGTGCATTCACTGTTGCCTTTCTTATAACTGTAAATTTTCTTGACTTCCGAAGCAAAAATGGGAAAAAAAAGAATGGGACGAGCCGGGCTTGAACCGGCCACCTCCAGATCTTCAGTCTGACGCGCTCCCAGATGCGCCATCGTCCCTTGTTCTGATTGAGGCATAACGTTTTAGGCTCTGTAAGAGGAAGTGGGTTGATATGTTCATTATCTGAGCATTTAGATCACATGCAGTTATGTGATTGACTATCGAGTACTGCACTAGACAGACGGAGTCCACAGAGTGCCAGAGGATGGATTGGTGATACACAAAATTGGTAATTGCACGTGTGACCCGATGCAAAAGCTATCACTACTGACATGATACATTTCGTGATGCCATTAACTCCCCAGCTATGTATAGAACTACCCTGGTACATCGATCTAAGATCCATCCCCTTGCTGTTGCTGTTGCTGCTTCCATTGGTGAGCTCTTTGCAGCAGCTTCGACAGATTTGCCGCTGACTGGTCGTCCGCCGGGAATACGTAGTCCATGTACTCCTCGTACCGGTCGTCGTCCAACTTGCGCCGCTTCTTGACTCGCCGGGGCATCTGCTTCTCGATCTTGTCGATGTCTTTTGGTGAACCGTGCGTGTGCTCGAACGACCGCCAAGCATTCAGCAGTTCCACGCGCTGTGTCATGGTTAGTCAGGGATATGTCAGAAAAGGAACGTTGACGACAGCTTACCTCTTCCTTGAGCTCCTTCTCCTTGAACACTTTGTGGGCTCGTTCGAAAACGGCCCGAGCACGACGCTTGGCATCCTCGCTGATCGGCCGCTCCTCTTCCTCCTCCTCTTCCTCTTCCTCCTCGTCGGGAACGTTAATCTCGAAGCGGGCGTAGTTGATCCACACCTTGACGTGGTCTGTCTTCTCCAGCAGACGCTCGTACAGCTGGCGGACCCGGTCGTATTCGCCCTCGTACTCCTCAAAGTCGATGTACGACTTCCACACCAACTCGGGCATATCGAGAGTTGGTTGGTCAATCCCAAGCTCGTAAATGGCTCGTGCACGGTCGGTGTCGTCCAGCCCGCGCTCCAACTCGGCATATTTGATCCACGACTGGCTGTTGGAAGGATTCCACTCGATCTGCTTTTCGAAAAGCGTCCGGCACCGCACGAACTCGAACAGCTGGCGCTCTAGATCAATGTATCCCCGGAAGAGTTTATCCTTGGGGCACATGCCGATGGCCTGGCCAAGCGTCTTGCGAGCGGCTTGGAGATTCATCTGACGGATCTCAAACTGCGCCTTCATGAGCCAAATCTTGGCAAAGGTGAACTTTTTGTGGGGAATCAATTTGAGACACTCGTTGTAGATTTGGCGCGCACGCTCGGCGTCCTTAGCTTCCAGTTCCTCCCAGATGGCGTAGAATATCCAGAGGTAGATATACCGTCTCCAGTGCCGCTTCTCCTGCGATGGTGGTATTTGAGCGATCGCGCGTTCGTAGATGTCGCGTACTCGGTCGGGGTCGCCCGAGGTCTCCTCAAGCCGGGCAAAGTCGAACCATATGTCGTAGTTCCGCGAGTTTTCTTTCAGTTGCTCCTCGTATTGGACTCTGCGTTTCGAAAGAATCACGTCCTCAACGCCTTCCCGGTCACCATACTGTTTCTCAAATGTCGTATAGGACTTGTGAAGCGCCATGGACTTTGAGCGAGGAAGTCGATCTAAAGCATACTTGTAAATCGCCCTAGCACGCTCATACTCCTTCAACTTCGCCTCGAACTTGGCATAGCCGATGAACAGCTTCTCGTCCATAAAGTCCTCTCCCAACGTCTCGATCGCCATTCCATACACCTCCCGCACGAGATCGCTCGTTCCATACTCCTCTTCAAACCGAGCCCACTTGATCCAATTGCGTGGTTCGGGGTGAACAATCGTGAACCGCTGGAAGATCGCGCGCGCCCTCTCGAACTCATTGTATCGCTTTTCCAGCTTGATATAGGCGCTCCAAGCTCCCTCTTCCGGCTCCCAAGACATCCACCGTTCAAAGACCTGCCGTGTGCCCGCAATGTTGCCCAGCGTCTCCTCCATGTAGACATACTTGTACCACAGCTTATCCACCCGAGGCAAGATCGTCACCGCACGGTCGAGTAAGTTCCTGGCATGATTGATGTTGCGATTCCGCATCTCCGACTCAATGTACCGAATCCACAGAACCACCGAGGTCGGGCTGACGTCCAGCGCCCGTTCAAAGATTGAACGCGCCCGGCGGAACTCCTTCTGCTCTAGCTCCCATGCCGCATAGCGCATCCAGTTGTTCATGTTAATTCGATTCCGACGCACATAGTCTTCGAACTCTTTTCGCTTGCGGCCCTGGTATTCGTGCAGTTCTTCCAGGTCGGCAAAGCGCTGCGTCGGCGCCTGCAATGCGGGCTCCTGCCGGTCCACGGCCTCGCGAAGCAGCTGCTCCGCTGAGATCTGGACGGGCGCTGCGGCCTTGTTCTTGACCCTGGGAGGGCCGCGTGACGACTCCATCGTGGTGTAGTTTATGCGACGATAATCGATCGGTAAGTGAGGTATGGTTCAAGCCGGACAAGGCCTCCGAGAAATCTGGCGTGCGCGTAGAGCTGAGCTAAATACGGCTCGACAGATAACACGTCCAGATACCCCAAATCAAAGGCGTTGTGCTGGCTACCGGGCGGTAGTCGAGGTTGATGCTGATTCCAGATTCCGAATGAATGCTGCGATCCAAAGTCGGACAAGCTGCGGTGATGGTCTCTTGCGCCACCCCCAGCCACCGCGTTGCTGACTCAGCTCCGGCCTGCAAAGCCCAGTCCGTGTGGCGGCGAACCCAAACCTCGAACTTCACCTGCATCTCATCTACGCGGCCTTGCTTCTACTTTGCGGACCTACACAGCTTGTCTGCTGGTCACGCTGCCGAATACCCATCATGTCAAATGCGGAGGATCTCTTGAGAGATTTTGAGGAGGACGACGAGAATTTTCAGGCTGGTGATGGCCTCGAAGAGGAAGCTGTCGATGAGGAGCAGCTGGCGCAAGCGCCTGAGCTCACCAACGAGTTTGACGTTGCCTTGTCGACCGCCGACGAACTGACTCGTCTACACAAAGTGCTGCGCGATCACTACTCTATCCGATTTCCTGAGCTCGAGACGCTCGTGACTACCCCGATCGACTACGCGAAAACTGTCGCTATTCTGAAAAATGGCCCGCTCAACGATATCAAGGCTCTGTCGACCTCGCCAGATAACATGGTGGGCGTGCCACTGAGGTCGATCTTGGATGGGCCATCCCTGATGGTTGTGGCCGTGGAGGGTACCACCACCCGAGGCCGGGAGATGACCGAGTCCGAACTCAAGACCGTGATGGATACTTGCGAGCGGATCCTGAAGCTCGATCGCGAACGTACGGCACTTACAGAAAGCATCCAGTCGCGAATGAGCCAGATCGCTCCCAACTTGGCGGCTTTGATCGGACCGGAGACAGCGGCTCAGTTCTTGAACCAGACCGGAGGTCTGCTTGAGCTAGCGAAGATCCCCGCGTGCAACCTAGCTGCACAGGGCTCGAAGCGGTCGGAGGGACTAGGATTTGCTACAAATATTGGTATTCGCTCTCAGGGATTTCTGTACAACTCGCCGATCATACAAGGTGTCCCGAACGACCTTAAGCGGCAGGCCATTCGCATCGTCTCTGCCAAGATGGTCCTTGCTACGCGAGCGGACGTCTCCAAGTACAGTCCTGACGGATCGCTCGGTGAAGAGCTGAAGCAGCAGTGTTTCCAGCGTCTGGAAAAGCTTACGGAACCCGCGCCGAACTCGGGCGTGAAGGCGCTCCCCGCTCCGGACGACAAGCCGTCCCGTAAGCGAGGTGGACGACGGGCGAGAAAGGCAAAGGAAGCTGTCGCCATGACGGAACTCCGCAAAGCCCAGAACCGGGTTGCCTTTGGTAGGGAGGAGGCAGAAGTCGGATATGGTACCGGAGAGGGAACAGTCGGACTGGGCATGCTTGGCCAACAGAATGATGGGCGGATCCGCGCGACTCAGATCGACCAAAGAACCCGAGCGAAGCTTAGCAAAAACAACAAGGGATGGGGTACCGCAACCCCCGTCAGTGGCACATCTACATCTCTCCGTGCATTCGGCTCCAATGCTAGTGGAACGGCCAGTGTGCTTCAGGCGAAAGGGTTGCGGACCTCTGGAGTTGGCACCTCGCTGGGAGGATCAGCAGGTACTGCCAGTACTATTGCCTTCACGCCCGTGCAAGGGTTGGAGTTGGTGGATCCTAAGGTACAAGCTGAGTTGAGTCGGAAACGCAAGGCCGAGGAGGATCGGTGGTTCAAATCTGGCACATTCACGCAAGTTGGTGGCCAGAGCAGCACGGCGCCTCAAGGGGGGAATGGAGGTTTTAAGGTTCCGGCATTGCCTCCGAAGAAGAAGGTCGATACAGGCGAGGGTAAGATGGCACCGCCACCGCCGCCGGTGAAGCAGTAAAGGGGGTCATTGTGTTTTTCAGGATTACGAGCATTCACAAGGCGTTATAACGTGGGATTTGCATGATACCATCAAGAACTGTATGATAGGATTAAACAAAAATACCAGTGCTTAATTATGGTTTAGCTTCTTTGGTCATCAGTGAACGGTACTGTGCAAGGGTGCCGAATTCCATGCGAACCAGTGGACACCTAGCCATGGTTCCAGACGGGATGGTGAAATTTCTCGGGCTGGGGATAGGCAAAGCCCAGCCCACACACCCTGATGGCGCAAGCCCGGAAGATATGTCGTGCTATTGTCTTGAATGTGACAATAACGGGCAAGAACTCAATTCTGCTGGGGGTTGCGCCGAGCAGTGTTTCATAGCACTTTTCTTTATTCTCCATTTGGCACACCGGCTGACCACCGTCCCCTAGCACTTGTAGTTATTGTCCCTAGGCAACATATTATAGAGCCCTAACCAACCACCGGAGATGTTGTAGTGCAGACCAGTTGCATGTCGCACCCGGGGATCCGATGATAAGCATAAAATTAGTAGCCGATGATCATCCAGGCACCCGGGCTCTCAAAATTTGATCATCCAACGAGCAGTGCAACATTCCGGCTGACCGACTCAAGTGTCGGCATATTGCGTGCTTTGAGGGTGATCTGATCGATCTTGGATTTCATCGAGTGGAGGTTGGATCGGGTGGATCTTTATGAGTAGTTTCTCTATTCTCGGGTTTCATTTCTTCCTGTTTTCTTTAAATGGCGACGTTCATCCCATCATTCTTCTTTCGTGTCTTTTTAATTCTTCTCGCTTTATATTAGTTGCACTTATTGTCACTCTTTAGCATCACCTTCCGCCTTTTTTGTTCCTACATACATACACCCCTATACACCACTCCATACTACTATTTTACACTACTACCATCATAGACCACCAGTCCTAGACACTACTACTAGAACAATGTCCCCCAGCATAACCTCACCACGTCCCTCCACCCCCGAAACCCAACATCAACGGCTTAAACCATCACCACCACCCACCAACATCCTCCTCAACCACCACACCCTCCTAACCACCAACCCCGAAGCCTTCATTTTCCAAGCCGCTGCCTCCCTCCAACTTCGTCTCAACCCAACAATCCCCAATGATTCATCCCTAATACCACCACCATCAGACACCAACCTCATCATCTCCCCTTACAACACCCCACACCACCTCCTCGACCTCCAGACCCTCAGCCCGGCCTCCCAACTCCTCGCCAAAGCGCTGACCCTATTCCACCCCATTCGCCCTGACTACGCCACGGCGCCCTACACCGAGTCCTTCAACTGGGACAGTGTCTTTGGGTTTCTAAGGAAACAGGCGAAAAGCGAGGGGTATACTTGGGGCAAGAGACACGAGAATATATTCTATGTGGTTGTATTCCGGTCGACGTTGACGGCCGATGCAGATGGGGAGAAGTTGCATGTGTTGGATGAGATGTCGTTACGGGAGGCAGTGGCGGGGGGTGGATTGTTAAAGTATTGGTTTGGGAATGTGGATGGGGAGAGGAGGGGGTTAGCTACTTGTGAGTTCTCTACCCTCTTTTTCTAAAGAGTTTACCTAAAAAATAATGTTTGCGAGGAGGATGGATGTGCTAATAACAGGTGACTGATAGGTGTATGGCGCAGTCGGGAAGATGCAAGAAAAGGAGGGTCGGGACCATGGCATCGACGAGCACGTGGGGCGGCGAGGGAAATGTATGAACGAATTGAGTTCACGACGTTGAAGTTGTTGGTGGGGGAGGATGAAGAAGGGAATTGGGGATGGGAGTTTGGGGAGTGGGTGGATGAATAGCTTGATCTTATCATATCATTTCATATCATTGATTGGGTGTTCAATTCCTTAATTATTAATACTGCATATATATTGTGAAGAGTTATACCCTTGATTCAAAGAAAGATCAGCAATGAAATTCTCGCTTGCAGCTTTGCTGACCGGGAAACATTTCTGAATCCAGACTGGACAGCCAAAAGGGCAGCATTGCCCGCGGAGTGGATTCCCCACCCGCGCATTGTGGCGTTTCCAGAAGAGTATCATTCCACGCGGAGGTGGGGAGGGGGGAAGTTCCACTGGATTTTGTTCGCCAATCTCCAATCTGCTGATTGTAAAATCCCCCATTCATATTGCAGCCGATCAACTTGTCAACACTCAATGGTCATGGCTTTGCTGCATGGAACGTCCCTCAACGCGGGGCAGATCCTTATTCTCCAGATTTAGGATTAGGATACGTCACGACACATGCCCCGGATAGTAGATAAAATATATATAAATAACCCTATACCCCCATACCTCTCCCCTCCTATCCTCAACCAAACAGTAGTCCAATCGATACTAGTATCTAGTAGTACTACTAGTATCAGCACTACTTACACCAAAAATGCCTGGCGTCCTCACCCAAACCCTCGCCGTCAGCGACGGTCCCCTCACCTCCGAAAACGCTGCCCTCCTTCGCCCCTCCGACCCTAACCTCCCCCTCGACGAGCTCCGCGCCCGCTTCAACGCCGACGGCTACCTCTTCCTCAAAGGAGTCCTCCCCCGCGAAGACGTCCTCGAAGCCCGCCGCCAATACTTCTCTTACCTCGCCCCCACCGGCGTCCTGAAGACAGACAGCGACCCCGTCCACGGCATCTTTAACCCCGACAAAACCCCCGACGACTTCCCCGGCATCGGGGCTGGTGCGGCTGGTGGTAATGGCCGGCCGGGCGGGGAGAGCGCCGCACAATTCGTCGATCGCGCCATCGAGGCTCACTACAAGGACTGGTATGCCGAGAAGCTGGTCCAGCATCCGGCGCTATATGCCTTTATTGCCAAGTTCACGGGGTGGGGTGACAATACGTTGACGTTTAAGCGGACGCTATTGAGGAATAATATCCCCCAGACGAAGCCTATTGGTGTCCATTATGATCAGATCTTTATTAGACATGGTGAGCCCACGGCTGTGACGGCTTGGGTACCTATTGGGGATATCAAGTTGAGTGGTGGGGGGTTGATTTATTTGGAGGATAGTATGTCTTCCATCCGGATTGTATGATGTGGGGATGCTGACGAGGACAGGTGATGTCGTGGGCCAGAAGATTGAGAATGAATTCACGGCCAAGGCTCTGGCAGCGGGCATGACGGAGGAAGAGGCTAAATATGCCTTCAACTCGAATATGATGTCCACGGGCATGTTGTCGGAGAATCCCGCCGAATTTGCCAAGGAAAATGGCCGGCGTTGGTTGGTTGCGGAATACGAGGCGGGGGATGTGGTGCTGCATAAGCCTCACATGGTAAGCGGCATCTTATTAGGAGCTTGTGGATAGTGCTGATGGGATTAGATCCACGCGTCGACGGTGAACAATGACCCGGATAGAGTGATCCGGTTGGCGACGGATTTGCGGTTTGCAGACTCGTCCCGGCCGTATGATAAGGTTGGTTTATACCTGGATTCTGTGATGTATTGGATGGACACTGATAATGGTGCAGAGATGGATGAACTTTTACCGATTTAATGACGGTGTTTAATTGGTCAAATTGGGACAATGACAGTGTTGGTTAATTGAACATAAACTTATGACAGACATGACATGATTCTTCCACCTGCTTACTCGCATCCATAACTTTGCCTTCTGCGTTCATCTACTTCGTAGTAGATATATCAAACGTACAATGACAAATCCTAGGTCCTTCGTTAGCTTCCATACTCCCAAGACTGGATGATACCTACTGCTGATCATCACAGAACCCTCCAGTCCACCCACCACCCTGTTCAATACACTGCACCCTTGAGTTAGCCATTTCTCCTTGATATCGACCAAGACCAGCATACCGTATTCCGACAGGCAAGATTCGCAATGTCATCCCCACCACGGATCTGGCACGAGGTGGAATTGCTCAGCATGATTTCCATGAGGGCAGCCAGGGCGGGCACACCCAACCCGAGGCAGGAGTAGAGGGTGACTAGGGCGGCTTTCATCGTGAGGTAGCTAGTTTCTAGTTGGTGGCTAAGAGCTAGTGGATGTTGGCGGTGGTGGATGTCAACCAGAGAGAGTGCCCCTTGCTACGATAGGCCTAGGTAAGATTGGGAGGGACCTTGGTTGACTGACTAGCAGGGTAGCTGCATTCTGTGAGGGATCTGCAGAGGGGATTACTTGGATTGAAGCTCGTGCATGGCCGCGGATGGTCCGGTGCTACACAGTACGATCTGCTATCGATATGGCGAGGGATAGATACTCGGGATTTGACTCGTTGATCTTTCAATCTTTTGATGCCTTAATTGCTCATGCATTATCTTCATGCCCAAAGAGTTTTTTTTGGTTACTTTGATCGCATTCACTAGTTATGGCTGCTTCGACGTGGCATCCCTTGCTGACGGCCTTAGGTAAGAGGGGGCCAGATGCACTGAGGAATGTCCAAAATCCGATTGTCGGCACCCCCAAGATTTGGGGCCAGTGGGATCCGCCGGTCGCGATGGATACCGGAGAACAATAGTCATCCTCCAGCTGTAGTTAGTCGGTTAATAGTTCACTAGTTATGAGGCAGATGGTTAGTCTTCAGGTTAAGTTCCGAGACCGAGGGATGGACCAACGGCAGCAATCAGGAGAGGCACCGTCAGCACGCAGTCCGGAAGCATAGAAAGTCCGACCGCATCAGCCCCGCCGGCCGAGCTTTGCTCCGTTTGAATCCTTCACGCTTTCTTCCCCTCTCTCGCTCTCTCTCTCCGCCCTTTTATTTCTCTTCTTCCCCCTCTACTCTTACTCCCTCCCACTCTCCCTCTTTCCTCACTTATCCTCCCCCCTTTTTTTCTGTAAGCCATATCTCTCCATTCTTCTCATTCTTCTCACTGTCAACTTGACTGATTCTAACCATTGCCTCTCTAGTATCTTCACCACACACAACCATGGCTGCCCCCGCCCAGAAGTTCAAGGTCGCCGACATCGTACGTTCCCCGTTATACCATTCTACCATGATCGCAATTCTCATTCATGCCTCTAGTCCCTGGCTGCCTTTGGCCGCCGCGAGATCGAGCTCGCCGAGATTGAGATGCCCGGTCTCATGTCCATCCGCCGCAGATATGGTCCCGACCAGCCCCTCAAGGGTGCCCGTATCGCCGGTTGCCTGCACATGAGTATGTCGGCCTGACATTTTTTACTTTGAAACCTTTCTAATCCCTTGCAGCCATCCAGACTGCCGTCCTCATCGAGACCCTCGTTGCCCTCGGTGCCGAGGTCACCTGGACCAGCTGCAACATCTTCTCCACCCAGGACCACGCCGCCGCCGCCATTGCCGCTGCCGGTGTCCCTGTGTAAGTTAAAACTGTATACCAATCTATCGGCTCGATCTAATAATTGATAGCTTCGCCTGGAAGGGTGAGACCGAGGAGGAGTACAACTGGTGCTTGGACCAGCAGCTCTCCGCCTTCAAGGATGGCAAGAAGCTCAACCTCATCCTCGACGACGGTGGTGACCTGACCTCCCTCGTTCACGAGAAGTACCCCGAGCAGCTCAAGGACTGCTACGGTCTGTCCGAGGAGACCACCACTGGTGTCCACCACCTCTACCGCATGCTCAAGGAGGGCAAGCTCCTTGTCCCCGCCATCAACGTCAACGACTCCGTCACCAAGTCCAAGTTCGACAACCTGTACGGTTGCCGTGAGTCCCTCATCGATGGTATCAAGCGCGCCACCGATGTCATGATCGCCGGTAAGGTTGCCGTTGTCGCCGGTTACGGTGATGTCGGCAAGGGCTGTGCCGATGCTCTCCGCAGCATGGGTGCCCGCGTCCTGGTTACCGAGATCGACCCCATCAACGCCCTCCAGGCTGCCGTCCAGGGCTACCAGGTCACCACCATGGAGGAGGCTGCTCCCCAGGGTCAGATCTTCGTCACCACCACTGGTTGCCGTGACATCCTCGTCGGCCGTCACTTTGAGGTGATGCGCAACGACGCCATTGTTTGCAGTACGTTCCATCTATCATGATCTACTGAATCAAGCTAACTGCTCAGACATCGGTCACTTTGACATTGAGATCGACGTTGCCTGGCTCAAGGCCAACGCCAAGTCGGTCCAGAACATCAAGCCCCAGGTTGACCGCTACACCATGGCCAACGGCCGCCACATCATCCTGTTGGCCGAGGGTCGTCTCGTCAACCTTGGCTGTGCCACCGGCCACTCTTCCTTCGTCATGTCCTGCTCTTTCTCCAACCAGGTCCTTGCCCAGATTGCTCTGTTCAAGGCTGAGGACGCCGAGTTCGGCAAGAAGTACGTCGAGTTCGGTACCACTGGCAAGAAGCCCGTCGGTGTCTACGTTCTCCCCAAGGCTCTCGATGAGCAGGTCGCTCTCCAGCACTTGGAGCACGTCAACGCCAAGCTGTCTCAGCTCACCCCCGTCCAGGCTGAGTACCTTGGCCTTGAGGTCACCGGACCTTTCAAGGCTGACCAGTAAGCCCTCCTATACCCCAAGCTTTAACAAATTGGCAGCTACTGACTAAGTGAAATAGCTACCGCTACTAGATGTCGAAATCCTACTGCTAGACTTCAACATTCACGATGTTACGACGACATATACAGGGTTCTTTATCAACATGGGGCTCAAAAGCATTGTCTTCAACGGCAAATAAAAGTGGCTGGGTATGGCTAGGGTTGCATTGGTGGTTGTGGAGTAATTGTTCAACAGAAGATACCAGATAATTGAATACATCATATTCCTACTACAGTAGTTTACCAAATACCCACCTCATTTCCCTTAAATCTCGTTGAAGAATACTTACAACTGAATCTCCTTAAACTTCCTCGCATTTTCCTCCAACGCCACCTCAACAGGCAACCTCTCCATACTACTCGCCCCAAAGAACCCATGCACCCCCTTACACCTCTTCAACACATACTCCGCATCCTCCGGCCCCGCCAACGGCCCCCCATGACATAACACAATCACCTCCGGATTCACCTTGACCACCGCATCCCTCACCTCCTGCACCACCTTAACACACTCATCCAACGTCAACGCCGTCTGCGCCCCAATCGTCCCACTCGTCGTCAATCCCACATGCACCACAATCACATCCGCGCCCGCCCGCGCCATCATCTCCCCTTCCTTCACATTGAACACGTACGGCGTCGTCACCAGATCCATTTCCCTGGCGATGCGAATCATCTCCACTTCCTTCTCGTATCCCATCCCCGTTTCTTCCAGGTTCGCGCGGAAGTTCCCGTCGATCAGACCGACTGTCGGGAAGTTTTGCACCCCCACGAACCCGATGTCCCGCAGTTGGCGCAGGAAGGTCCGCATGTCTCGGAAGGGGTCGGTGCCGCAGACGCCGGCGAGGACGGGCGTGTTTTGGATGAGGGGGAGGACTTCGCTGGACTGTTCTCTTAGTTAGCATTGGTTGTGGGTGGGAAGGGCGAAAAAGGGTGAGGGTATGTACCATTTCGACCACCACGGCGTTGGCGTCTGAGTAGGGCATCATTCCTGCGAGAGAGCCTCGGCCTGCCATGCGGAATCGGCCTGAGTTGTAGACTAGGATTAGGTCGGCGCCGCCTTTCTCAATGAATTTGGCGGAGAGGCCGATTCCTGTATTTTGTCGTTAGTTACTTATTGATAGTTGAGTGTTGGTAGGATGGGTACATACCGGCTCCTGCACCGATGATGATGGAACCATCGGCGATGGTCTTGCGAAGACGGTCGAGGACTTCTTGTCGGGTGGTTGGGCGGGGCATAGTGGTGTTATTGTGTAGGTATGTAGGTTGTAGTATCTAGGGTGGGTGTTGTAGTAGGTATTAGGAAAGTAGTATGTTATATACTAAATCGAGGGCTAGTGGAGGACAGTTGAGGATGGGCCTTAAATAACCTCCGACCTACAAAAGTCGGAATTATGACGAATGAAAGAATGTCGGAAACAAACATCCCCGTGATAGTGTGACTCTATCTCCGAAGGAGGGGTAAGAGGGGTATGCCAAATCATCAGTGGATCAGGCGGTTACCACATAATTGATAGTCAAGTATCCAGTTTGGTGGCGGATGGGTAGTACTTTTAGGTGAGGTAACCACTTCAGCTGAGGATCGTCCGGGATTTGACCCACGGCTAACCCTAACTAGTTTGCAACGGCGTGGTTTTGTCTGCAGCTGAGACTCCTCTCTTCTGCGTGATTAATTTATTACATCTCGCCTTGGGCTTTTTGAGTTCCTGCGAACAGATCCCTGTCAGTATTACGCACGACAGTACTCTTAGTACATCTGGTAGTCTCGGATATGACGGTGCAGCGCAAGCCGATCGATTCTCCAGCTGCCTGCCACCAGCCACTGTGTAACATGCCCCTCTTCAACGTTATAAACCCCGCTCCCAATAAATAGTAGTAGTAGTAACATCACCTTCTCTACAACACCTCCAATATCTACAACAAGTCATAGTAATAGTATACTGCAACATGCCAACCATCCTCCTCCTCGGCACCTGCGACACAAAATGGTCCGAACTACTCTACCTCCACTCCCAACTAACCTCTAACCCCTCCATCTCCGTCCTTCTCATGGACGTCGGCCGCGCCGCCACCTCCTCTCCGCTCATCAACATTCCTCATCCCAGCCTCAACAACAAAACAATCGACTTCACCCAGCTCCCCCGAAACGACTACATCCAATCCATCACCCATCTCTCCACCCCCACCGTCGCCGACCTCTACCACAATGGCAAAATCCACACCATCCTCTCCATCGGCGGCAGCTGCGGCACCACCATCGCAACCACCATCATGCGCGACGCCCTTCCCATCGGGTTCCCGAAACTGATGGTCTCCACCATGGCCTCCGGCGACGTGGGTCCCTACATTCAAGAAACAGACATCACCATGATGTACAGTGTCGTGGACGTAGCCGGCACAAACAGCATTCTGAACAGAATCCTCCGCAACGCAGCAGCCGCAGGAACCGGAATGGCGATATCATACCACGACCAGCTTCAGACCTCAGAGTCTAATAGCTCGAACGGACACGCTCAGAATAGACATCATAAGGAGAATGGTAGCCTCAGCAAAGAAACGCCCAAAAAAACCAAAATCGGCATCACCATGTTCGGCGTGACCACACCTGCCGTAACCCAAATCCGCACCTACCTGGAATCCCACCTCCACAACGAATGCGAAATCTACGTCTTCCACGCCACCGGCTCCGGCGGAAAAGCCATGGAGCGACTAATTCGCGAACAACAACTCGACGCCATTGTGGATCTGACCACCTCTGAGATCGTGGATGAGCTCGCTGGCGGGGTATTGTCCGCCGGACCGGGACGGTTAGACGCCGCGGCGGAGAGGGGCATCCCGCAGGTAGTGAGTGTGGGGGCGTGCGATATGATTAATTTTGGGACGAAGGATACAATCCCCGAGCGGTTCAGCGGGAGGAGGATCTACGAGCATAATCCGACGGTGACTATTGTGAGGACGGATGAGGAGGAGAATCGACGGATCGGGGAGTTTATTGTGGGGAAGTTGGGGAAGGCGAAGTGCCCGGGGAACGTGGTGGTTATGTTGCCGACGGGGGGGATCAGTATGATGGATGTACCGGGGAATGGGTTCTATGATGGGAAGGCGGATGAGGTGTTGTTTGGGACGGTGGAGAAGGGGTTGGAGGGTTCCGGGGTGAGGGTTGTGAGATGTCAGGGGGATATAAATTGTAGGGAGTTTGCGGAGAGTGTAGGTGAGACTTTGTTGGGGTTGTTGAAGAGTGTAGTTAGTAGATTGTAGTATAGTCGAACTGAATTTAGGGTATATGTTAACTTTCGATCACTATGTAGATCAAACCTACTTGACTGCATATCTTTAACCTTGGTGCCGCCGGAGCACCAATAAGGTAATTTCCCGGTGGCCATTTACCCGAGTTACAGTTTCTTTGAAACTTAGCTATAAATTGGATTCCCCAACTTTCCTTTTGTACATTTTACTTCTGTTTTAAAGATACTACACAGCAGTACATCTACATCAATCAACATGTCCCGTCCCCTCGAAGGCAAATTCGCCATCGTCACCGGTGGCTCCCGCGGTACCCCATCCCCGTCTCCCATACCCTCTCCATCCCCACCACCCCACTAACGTCCCCCAGGAATCGGTGAAGCCATCGCCCACAACCTCGCCAGCAAAGGCTGCTCCCTCCTCCTAAACTACACCTCAGACAGCTCCCGCGCACGCACCGAATCCCTCTGCAGCACCCTCTCCACCACGCACAACATAACCTGCATCCCCGTGCAAGCCGACCTCTCCGACCCCACCCCCGCCATCAGCAGCATCCTCTCCGCCGCCAAAACCCACTTCACCTCCCCAGCCACAAACACCCTAACAATCGACATCCTAATCAACAACGCCGGCGTCAGTAAAGACCGCTTCCTCAACGACTCCTCCTCAGGCCCTATCGACCCGGCCTACTTCAACTGGCACTACACCATCAACGTGCTGGCCCCGCTGCTCCTCACGCAAGCCTGCGCCGAGTACCTCCCCCGCAAACCCGCGCACAGCGGCCGCATCATCAATATCTCGAGTATTTCATCCTCGTTGGGGTTCACGGGCCAGTCGGTGTATGGGGGTACCAAGGCGGCGTTGGAGGCGATGACGAGGACCTGGGCGAGGGAGTTGGCGGACGTGGCGACGGTGAATGCGGTGAATCCGGGTCCCGTGGTCGGGGATATGTATTTTGCTACGGGTGAGGAGTTCTGGAAGCAGATGCAGGGGTTTCAGGATAATGCACCGTTGAGTAAGTTGCAGGATGGGGAGGAGGGATTGAGTGAGGAGCAGGAGAGGTTGATTAGGGAGAAGATGGGCGGGAGGAGGCCTGCGTTTACGAGGGAGATTGCGGGGGTGGTGGGGATGCTTTGTACGGAGGATGGGGGGTGGTGTACGGGAAGTGTGGTTTGTGCTAATGGCGGGTTGAAGTTTACTACTTAGTTGTTGTTGGCCTTGGGAATTTTGGGTTTGGGGGTTGGGTAGGGTTAGGATATGAATAGAATAGAGTGGTGGTGTAGGACCCACATTGACAATACGTTGCATTATCTTGGAAGTGAGACGCGTTTTGGGTTGGTAACTTAAGGTTCTAGTCTTTTGTCGAGTAGTCAAGTAGTTACGCATCTGGACGATATATCTCCTAAGGTGCACTATGAATTGGGCCTGATAGGTGGTTCTCTGCAATGGACGACCCGGGACTTATGGCTTCATCTTACAGTGTTCGAAACGTGCTATGAAAGCGATCAGATTATACTCTAATTACCAATAGATAAAAATCAGTCGCTAGTATAGAACTATCATATGAACGTGGTGTATATAGCTCTTGGTATGCGAGTTAGGGTTATGCACGTTCCCGTCAGCCTCGTGCCGTGACTACCGTAGCCCTAACTTCTCGACTGCCACGTTCGCTCCGACCTGGGGCGTTTCAACGTCTTCTAAATGAAAGATAAAGAACTAAAGAAGATGCAGAAAGAGAAGAATGAATTGGTGCTTTATATTGATCATTGCACTCTATATTTTTTACGGTAGTGTTTAAGGATGCAAAAGAGTGGCAGAGAACGAAGGGGATGCCTGTGTGTTCCTACCCTTTATGGTAGGCACGCTGCGTCGACAACCTAGCTATATCGGGCAGCATGAAATACCAGCATGCTCTAATGGATGAGAGTACCGGATAGAACGGCAATAGCAAAGTGGATAGCCCAATTTTGGTCATATTTAGGTTAGATTTAGAGTGAAACGCTAGTACCGTCGGTAGATTCATAGTATCGGTAGCTGTTTGTTTGCTGATATCCCAAGCATTACACTGATATGGACAGAAGTAAATGCAACTGAATACTGAGAATATCACCGACAGAAAATCAACCACTTTCCACTCACCTACATCTATACCCTCACTATTATGCATAAATCAAGCAAGCTTCCGGGCTGGTCTGGGCTCGGCGGAATCCCGCCCAAGTGGGACCGCCAGGCCACGCACGCAGATGACTAAGCCTCTAGGCAGCGATAAAGTTGTCCTGGACCCTGAAGGGTCTTAATCATGCATTTCCCGCCGGGGGATATCATTCCCGCTTAATTAGCTTCTTCCGGTGTCATTTGATTCATGCAGTCTGTCAGCATGGATGCAGATATCCTCGATATTGTGGCCCAACGTGGCGGGAGGGCCAGGAGTGCATGTGACCTGTGCCGGCATAAAAAGGTGCTACCCTATGTCCTTTACTTAGTACGGGCTCATCACTGATGCGGGTTAGATTCGATGCGATGGAGAGAAACCAGCATGTGAGAATTGTCATTTTGCTGGTGTTACCTGCACGTTTACCGTGACTGGTCAACCCAGGAAGACTATTAGAGAGTATGTTTCTTGTGGCAAATATAGTAATATACTGCTATTCCCAGTGGTAAATAAACAGTAGTAACATCATTGCTAATTCTCATAGGCAACTCGCTGAAGCCAAGGCTCGTGTACAAGAATTGGAAAGCTTCATTGCCGGCCGTCCTCTCCCAGGAGCAGTTTCATCAACCATCCATTCGCAGGATGAACTGCGATCTGCCTCACCATGTCCGCCCATGTCGCTCTTTGCCGCGCCATCGCATCCCCAGGACTCGTCGGATTTCGACATAGCCTTGGAAATCTTCAAACAGCACCTGGAAATTTCCTGGCCAGGCACTACTAACTCCCCTCAGCGTAACTCATTCCATGCTACTGTCTACCGCCAAACCGGCGCTGTCTTGGACTTGCACGGCTTCTTAGCCTGTGCGACAGAGTCCTACAAGGCCCAGTATGCTTCCATCTCGCCAGCAATCTCTACTCCCCAATGGCCCAGCTACGCACTGATCCAGAAGTGTCTCGACTACTACGCCGCAAAGAGCATGTACTCCATGTTTCCTGTTGTGGATTTACCTGCTTCCCAGGCTGTCCTTGATGCCCTCGTCTCTGGCCGTACAGACTCCCTACCTACCACGGCGGAAAAGGCACATCTCTTCGCCTTCGCAGCCTTTATCACCAAGCAGCATCAAAACCAGCCGCAATTTGCAGATACAGACCCGGAAGCTTACGTGCAGGCCGTACTGACACTAGTACCTAAGCTCATGCTTGAGCTAGCTAGTGTGTGGAAACTAGAAACATTTGTCATATTGGTATCTTTTCCTTCTTTTCTACCATATCTCCCATATTCTAAACACAGATAGGCCCTCCACATCGCCCCAGCAGGCTATCCCCAACAAGCCCAACTCCTCCTCTCAACAGCCATCCGCATTTTATATCAATTAGGCGGCCACCGCATCACCCCTCCCCCAGAATACCAACCGCAGGCCTCCTCCATCACTACCAACAACAATAGATCCCACTCCCACCTCCGCGCCATCTTCTGGCTCTGCTACAGCATGGACAAATAAATGTGCATCCGCAGCTGCTCTCCACCTCTTATCCACGACATCGACGTCGACCTCGACTTCCCCCAAACCTACATCGACTCTACCACCCACTCTCCCCCACCACCGCGACAATCACCATCATCATCAGCATCATTATCATCATACAATAGCAACGAAATCCCCCTCCTCTACCCAACAGACATCCGCCTCGCCATCTTCAAATCCCACATCTACAACCGCCTCTACTCCAGCCACGCCCAATCCCTCCCTGAAGCCCGCCGTCTGGCGCATATCCGCCAACTCGATCAGGATCTGAGTGAACTATACGCCGAATTCCCCTTAGGACATACACCAGCACACACACCTAGATCCGAAACAAGCACACCCAACAATCGAGATCCAACAATACAACACTCCTCCTCCTCCAACGAAGAAAGTAGTAATCATAAAATGGTCAATATCCGCCCTATCAACATCCACCTCGAATACCACTACTGTATTCGCAAACTGCACGAAGCGAGTATCACAACTAGCTTATCTGTCGTCTCTGCTCCGCTTCCTTCAAGTCTGGAGCTGTATTATCAGGCCTCGAGGTCGACATTACTATATTACCTGAACTCAGGGAAGGGAGGCCTGGTGGATCGGTTTAGTTTTTGGTGAGCTTACCATTCCCTCTTTAATCTTTGTTATTGCTATCCCTAGCTATGTATGGTATACTGATACAAAGGGCGTGATGGTAGGATCCACGCACAATTCATCCTCTCCGCCATTCTCACCGTCTTCTGGTGTCTGATCGAGAACCCCGATCCTCGTAATGCGTCCTTCACGAGGGATTTGAGGATGTTGGAGGATATGAGGGGATTGTTTGCTTGTGAAGCGTTTGATTTGGACGGGGAGGGCAGGTTCTTTCCCCCGGCGTATATTGTTGATGGGTTTTTGAGCTGGTTGGTTTCGTTGGTTAGGATTGCGGTGGAGAGGGAGGGGGTTCGGCATGGTCGGGCTTCGTGATGTGTCTTCTACCTCTTCTTCTTACTATTTTTATTCATTTACATATTTTTCATTCATAGGATCATGTTGGGTGTTTGTTGTGACTTTGGTTTTGGTTCAGTGTCTTCTATGGCTGGTTGGACTGTCTATAGATACTGGTCTACTGTGGTAAGGCTTGTATAGTTCATTTGTAAAACATTATCAAAGAGGGATTATGTGGTCAGGATGAATTTTTTGAAAGGTAATAAAAGTTGGAGAGGAAATGGTCAAGTAGATATCGGTGATAGTTTCAGCAATATAGATTAAATCGTTGTTCAGTAACTATCTAGAGCGAGTGACGAAGAACCTAGAAGACCTCCACATCGTCATTGTCAATCAATACTACCCCGCAAACATATCTTTCGATGATCTCAATCAATCCAAAGCATCTTATCCCTGGATATTCCAGAAGACATAATATCACCTAGTTCCAAGGCGAGCATAGGCTCAGTCATGGCCAGGTACTTTGTCATTGTAAATATACCAGCCATTGGTTGGATTGTACAAGTCATACGGAGTAACCCCCGTCAGCGCCTGATAGTTTGTGGCTTGACACCATGGCACTTCCGGGTCTATATCGAGGCAGGGTGCCAGGAATTCGGCCACGTGTTTGCCCTCGTAATAGGCCCCGTGCAAGTAGCCGAAGAATTCCTGGCTGGTGGCTTCACCGGCAAAGAAGACACTATCAACATTGGCGCGGAGATTCTGATGCTCTTGCAAACTGGTCGATGGCGGCCAGTAGGAGTACGATCCGTAGGACCTGCAAAGTTAGTGCTGCTGCCGGCTCAGAGTACCACAGACATCTCACCAATCTTCCGTGCTCCATCTCGGATAGTATATCTCTTCCAATTCTGAGACCCTCTCACCATACATGTGCTTAAGCACCTCGAGGAGCTCCTGCTTCGTCTCTTCGTTTGTCTGAGACTCGACGCGGTAAGAACGCTCTCCGGTCACCGTGGCCACAAGAATATTAGAGTTCTCATACAACCCGGGAATATCCAACGGCTGGAAAACGGGGTAATTGCCGCGAACATGGGGATCTGCCCACATAAGGAATTGCTTTTTGTCCCAGAAACTGCTCTTGAACTTGAGGAAGATCTTGGTGTATGTGCCTATTTCAAAGCCGGCAATGCCTTGAGCTTTCCAAGGTGGCAGGGGCGGGTCATATTCCACGTGTCCTCTCTGTAGTACTCCTAGAGAGAAGGTGACAATAGCATATTTGGCATTGACGCATCCCTTATCACTGGTCACGGTGACCCCGTTCGAATTGTGCTTGATCTTGGTGACTTTGTTGTTGAAGCGAACACGATCTGCCGGTCCATTGAGGACGGCGCTCACATTCTTCCGAAAAGCAGATACGAATCCGGCGTTATCACAGATAAACCAGTCACCCTCTGAAAAGTATTCGTAGGTGGCGATCGTGGAAATAGCGCCAAAGACTTCCGAATTCTCCTCTGGCGGAGATGCAGCTTCCCAATCCCAGGCCCACCAGTCGGCCAGTTGTCCGGCTGGGTCATTCTTCGCCGGATCCCAGTGCTGAAGGCGCTGGCCGGCTCGGAATGTCCGATCCTGGCGATTGTTTTTCAGGATATCGACGGCGTCAACCAACACCTCATCAGTGGCGACCTTGGCGCTCTTCAGGGCGGCTAAGACAGCTGTTTCGCTTTGTTTAGGATACACGGCCCTGTCCTCCTCGTTGGTCTTCCTGATGGGGTTTATCAACGGCATGTCCTCGCCTTGGATCGAGTTAAGGGGTGCTCACACTTTATTCAATCCCGCCCTTTTAACCTACGTCAAGTTAGCCAGTCCGTCAAGGCCAGAGATAGTTACCTACCATAGTCCACATGGGATTGATGTTTCCGGTTTCCGGCCCCCCCGGTCCGTGAACCTATTTTGTCAGCATTGAAACGGCCATTGAACAACCGGATGACTGATACATACCCAGTTGGCGCCGACCTCAATCTTATGCCCGGCAAAATTGCGACTGTAAAGCCGGCCACCAGATTCATTTCGAGCTTCGAGCACAACAAAATTCTCAACACCTTTGTCTAAGAGGGTTTGCTGCTGTTGTCAGCTTGATCTTGCCAGCGCGGTGCATGGGGATTTTACTGCAGCGGTAAGACCGGCAACTCCTGCTCCCCTGAATATGTGAGTTTATAGCTTGGATGCCGTATCTAATATGAGGAGCTTACAAGATAACAACATCAGTGTTGCTGCAAGTGGGCTCAGCAAGGGGCGCAGCATGCGCCGCCAACACTGGCAGTGCCACTGCAGCAGCAGGAACGAATCTCATGGTGTCGGCTGGCTAGATGCCACTGTCGAGTCTGCCTGCCTAGAGACATAATATGGTAGCATGTAGCTCCTTATATGTCTGCTTGAACATTGTTTTTCCTCGGGAAAGGGATCCGTATGTATAGAAGAAGAATGTGCAAGGAATGCGGGGCGCACCTGACGTTGAGCGACTTCCCTCAGGGTACGAGTGCCCTGTCGCATGCCAGAAACCACCTCATAGTGATAATGGGTGTCAAGTGACCGCTAATCATAGCTGGCTTTGCTAGGGGTGATGGAGTTATTGTCAGCTGTGACATGCTGACAGCCTTCCGGTGAAGCAGAGGATCGAAAACAAGGAATAACTCCGTGGAGTTTTTATGAACCATACCGTACGATGTATTTGTCAATGTAGGACAAAACTGTCAATATCCAGTCGATTTGCACAGCTTCCCAAGAAGGTGCAAATGTTGGGGTAGATCACTGCACATCCGCGGAGGCATATAGGGCGAGAGACGCAGAGCTGGGGGTGGACATGCCGGGGTGTTGGGACAGGTATGCATAACTCCCAAGTGCTATGGAACTACCATTTACAGTAGTAATCTACGGTACACTCTTCAGCACCTGGAGTTCTTCAGAAGAACGGCGGAAGGTGAAGTGTCTGGTGATTCAGAAGTCTGCTGGTCGTTCATGGTACATGAGGCAGGTGCCAATCAGCAAGCAAGTTACGCCAAGTGAGTCTTCTCATTAAGCATGGTTAATATTGTAGGGACAGAAATCACTTGAATTGGCATTTCATCCCCAATGTTCCTCACCAAATGCAAAGTATATAAATCTTCCAACTATGCGATTACGGACGTAGTCCAGCTCGGAACTATACGACCATAGTCAATTTCCTGGCCTTGTCCTTGATATCTCCATCTACTAATATAAGCCGGTGTACTTCCAGCGCCTCCATTTTTCGTAGCATAAGCACCAACAAGCGCGCCTACAACTGTCAACACTGCAAGAAAAAGAACTCGAAAAATGTAAAGGGCCAACTTACCAGTAAACCGACCAGTGCCACCACTGACAATCCTCGTATCTGCCCACCCAATGACTTCCTTATGACCCGGGTTCCTTGATGGCGCAGCGAAAAAGGCATACGTCGTGTCGTTGACAGCCTGAATCTCGAGCCTTATAGTGTCGGCTTGCCATTCCTTTGGCACAGAAATAGTTTGTCCAGGAAGGGGGCCATCGTAGTTACCCCGGCCTTCAACACGGAACCTGAATGACAGGTCATTCTGTAGCAACACAATACCCAAATCAATGTGCTGTTCCTGGGTCAAAAACACCGTAACCCCAGCTTCCTCACCATCCATCTCAGGATCAAACGATATATCCACACCATACGTGAACAACGTATCCGTCTGCCGACGCATAACCAGCGTCAACCCATCATCCGGCTTGAACTCCGGCGTTCCTGTCAAATTATAGAACGACGGAGTCAGCCTCAATGTATTAGGATACCCTTCCGGTGAAACCACAAAATTCTCCGTCCTCGGATACCTCCAATACACAAAATGCGCTGGAATCGCAGACCCGGGATCGAAATCCACTCTATCAGGCTGATCAATCCAATCCCCCTCGCCAACTGCAATCCCCCTATCCTCTGACATCAAAGGCCCACTCATCACCCCCCGAACAGGCTGCACAACCGGCCACTCGCCCTTCTCCCACCTCGCCGGCGCAAGAACCGTCTCTCTCCCCATGGGATAGTTCTTCCACGCCGGCCCAGACCGGGTACTCAGCGCCACAGCCCACCAATCTCCCACACTATCCTGAAACAGATCCGCATGTCCGACCGTCTGGAAATACTGCGTCGTATTGCGATTCGTCAACAGCGGATTCCGGAGATAAGCTTCCCACGGCCCGGTCCGGAACCTTGACCGAGCAATCGTCTCCGAGTGTCCGAGCTCGGTCCCTCCCTCGGCGATCATAAGGTAGTAGTATCCGTCTTTGCGGAAAATGTGCGGTCCCTCGGGGCTGGATCCTCCAGTGCCGTTCCAGAGGTTGTGAATGGGACCGGTGGCCCCGGTGCTTAGATCGAGGGAGTATTGCTGGATGTGGTTTCCGCTGGAGGAGCCACTGTTCGCGGATGTCACGTAGACGGTACCGTCGTCGTCCCAGAAGATGTCCGGGTCGATGCCCGTGACGGTGAAGACGAGGGGGTCGGTCCAGGCGGAGTTGTTGTAGGGGTTGGTGGTGGTGAAGAGGAGGCCTTGGATGTCTGTGCCGAGGTAGGTGACGATCAGGTAGAAGGTACCATTGTGGTAGCGCAGGGTTGGGGCGTAGATGCCACCTTGTTGGTCTGTGGTGTTTCGGAGATCGGGGATTTGAGAGGGCCGGTTGAAGGCGTTGCTGGCGAGTTTCCAGTTCTGCAGGTCTTTACTGACATAGATGGGGAGGCCGGGGTAGGCGATGAAGGTGGAGGTGGCGCAGAAGGTGGTGTTGTGTTCCGGGACGTGCGCGCATGTTGGGTCGGAGTGCCAGCCGGGGAGGATAGGGTTGGTGTAGGTGTGGTTTGTTGTAGGAGAGGAAGATGCAGTGATTGATAGTAGGGTAGTTGCGAGGAAGGTAGAGGGCCACATGGTGAGATGTGGTTAATACATTATAAGGGAAAGATGCTAGCATGCTTAAGGGTTATATAGGTGATTGCTCCGACGATGCTTGGACGCGTGCCGTGGCGATTTTAGGCTAAAGGGAAGTTCTGGGGTAATGCGACGCTAACATGGTGAGGATGAGTTGAGTCGATCTCTTGGCCTTTCAAGAGTGGCCGATTGCGCAGACCGACATCCTTGGCTAAGTGCATCTCGGGAATAGAAGGGACTATAAACAGTCCTCATAGCCATGATTTTATATGAATGGATCTATCAAGAAAATGGACAGGTCTAGACGCTGATGTTCTCGCTGCATTGCTATATAACACCTGAACGCTGGGGGCATATTCAGCACAGGCTCCATATATAGTGTCAAACCGCTAATGAGTGGACTAGTAACGGTTTATTATCACGTCTATCTGAAAGCAGACGGAGAGATATGTTCCAGCATGCAGAAGTGGTAACAGTTTTGGTAATTGTTCGCAGGCAAGAGCCTGATATTTGCCTGTCAAATTGTTTCTCGTCACAGGCCTGTCCTAATCTCTAATAGTCGAAGAGATATCCTGGGTTTGGACCAATTTGATATATATGACTATTGTCTGACCTGCCATGTTCTCGTTGACATTAAGCATATGTTTTCCGTAGAGGCAATTTATTCTCCATAAGCGAGTTGAAGGAAAAGCAACCGAATTCTAACCAGAGCAGAAGTATTAGTGAAATAATCCCCGAAGACATACAGGCACAGCAAAGAACAGATAGAGTCATATGAATACCTTCTTAGACAACATGTTTCCTCAAATTCGAAGCATTTCATCTGTCCTAGAAGACAATCCGGCCCTTTCCGAGTGGCTGTCTTCATCATAAGCGCAACTGGGTCTACCTGCAAGTTCTCAGCATCCTTGGGCAATCTTGGGATCGCATTGGGCTTCCACCGAATCCTGATGCTTTTTATTTCTCCGTAGTAGGCATCAGCGGGAAGAACGTTATCGAAAATCATGTTGAAAACACTAATGTGACAATAGTGTCTGACTTTGACACTGCTATCCAAGAGCCTGAAAGGGAGCCTGTAAAATCTCCTTAAGACAGACCAGGAATTGAGAATAAAGTCTTCATTCACATCTTGGAATGCCGTGGTAAAAAGCGTGGTATATAATAAACAAAGAAAAGTATATGTTCGATCTGCATAGAGTTCTCTATACAGGCATAGCCTCGGGAAAATTTGAGGTTCATGTTGTAAAAGGGTTGGTTGAGAGGTAGCTGACTTTATATAAGATTTGTTTCAGCTGAGGACAAGCCATTAATTCAATAAGGCAATTCGGTGAACCCACCCGTGAATCCTTCTGTGAATGGACACATAAATTGACATACAGAGAAGATCACACGATGCTTTTAGCAGTATACCTGAATCATGAGGCTGTGATAGTAGTAGCGGTGAATGTAGGCGACTAGAAGGGACTGCTCCTTTACCCCAAATCCTCTATTTATTAATCCTTATAGATAGAAGGGCGAATTGCTATTGGTTCATTGTCTGTAGGTAATAGCAGGATTTTAGACGGAATTTCCCTGGCATAGACATTCTCTTACGTGACAGACTGCTTTGCTAAAGCCTACAGGGCTTGGACAAGTGATTTTGGCCGAGGTAGAGAATTTTATTGGAGTGAAAGTGTGTAATAGAACTTTTGTTCATATAATTTTAGATATAGTTATAACAGATGGCTCCGTGTTCACTTGCTCGCAACTCAGCTCTTGCAAGATCCTTCATCTAGGGCTATGATGGGAAAATATGGTTGTTGATACTTACCTTGGTACTTGTTCTCTGCTATGACTGTCTCCTTGCTAGCGATAGAGTACTTGTCTCTTTATCACAATCACCAGGATATACTAGTAGCATCAGCCATGCCACTGATCACTGGCTACCAGAAACCCCAATAGAAGAAAACCCATCGAACGGTGACAAATATAAAATATCGTCATCAATAGTTAGAAAATCAGAGTAGAAAACAACAATAACCTAACCAAGACATGTATCACGCAACTCTTCTACTAGTTTAACTAAAGTAAGGGCACACCCCGGTTAGTCAGCACGGTCCATCCCCAACCGACGTCATCCCATCATAGCAACCATCACTTCATCCATCCATTAACCACCCTCACTACCAATCCCCATCATCAATTCATATCCGAAATGTCTCTCCGGACCCCTCTTCGCGGAGTGCACCTCTCCCGCTCTTTACACAAGCCCTCAACCCGTCGCCCACTCCCACTCCCACTCCGCACCCTAACCACCTCCGCCCGACCCCGACTCACCTCCGCACCCGGACTCACCACCACACCAACACCAACACAAACACCAACAATCCCACGAACCTACACATTCACATTCACCCCCACACTCAAAAACAAATCCTCATATTCAACATCGTCCAAACCCCCCGCCGACCAAATCATCGACGAACTCCAAGAACTGTGCGTATACCCTTTCCCCCCTTCCCAATTATCATACATACTGAACAATCTCAATCTGGTAATGAAGATACGAAGTCGCAAAAGACGAATTCGAAATCGCCACAGAAAGCACCGACTCGGCGACGATCTACGCAGCGTCGGATCGGGAATCGGCGCGCGATGCTCTGAATGAACTCATTGCTGTGTATACGGTGTACACGAGGGATATGTCGTTCGTGAGCCATTCGCCGCAGGGACAGGTGGATGTGGATACGGGGTTGGATCCGGGTGCCGTGGGGGATGAAGTCCGTGAGGAGGTGAGGAGAAGGGTGGGGACGAGGGTTAGGGAGATTGTGGGGGCTGTGGAGAGTTTGGAGGAGAGGGCTTCTGCTGAGTGATTTGTAATATCATTTTCATGGTTGTGTTTGTGGATGGAATGTGTGTATGATAGTGGTGGTGATATTTAGGGTTGGGAGGAGAGGATTGAATGAGGGCTTAAATGAAGGTGGTAGTAGTGGTGGTGGTGTGTCATTAGATGGGGTGTGTGTGGTTATATACTATTTGGTAGGTGGATGTTGTTCAACTCGTGTCTAATATATACTATGTAGTAGGTTGTGATAGTAGTAGGTATAGGTATAGGTGTCGTCCACTCATAATGATCTTTTAACCAGTCGTCAATCGCTCGCTCATCCAGTTGTCCTGTTCGCCGTCGTACTCCGTTTTATATCCAATCCCATCAATCCGGTATCAGAAATCACGTATGTATGTATATTCCCTCCCCGTTGATCTGCGCCTGGTGCCCGTCTGTGCTGCTCTCACGCCACTTCGGCGAAGGCAAGTCCGAAGTCATCCGGCATCGGAGTACCCAGTGAGATGTCTTCTTTGTGCGTGGTCCTTAAGTGTCGTTTAAGTTGGTCTGCTTTGTTAGTATCTCTGTTGGGCCACATGGGGGTTTGGGCTTACCGTGTCGCGTGAAGCTCTTGGTGCATCCGGCGTGGTGGCATTTGTGTCGACGCTCGCCGTGTGCTAGTCCAGTTAGTATCAGCTGCATAGACTTGTCTACGAAATACGTACTCAATCGGTGGCTGGACATATTAGATGACTGAATCTGTTAGCTTGAGTTCTAACTTCTGTTTGGCTGTACTTACATCACCAGTCTGAAAGTTACACCCCGGGTACGTGCATTTGAATGGCTTCTCGCCCGTGTGCGTCCGCGAATGCGTTTCTATCCCGTCAGTGTCTATTCGTCTTGAAGATAACATGCACATACTCAGCTCGCTGCTGTCGGTAAACGACTTTCCACACTCGGTACACTTGTACGGCTTCTCGCCTCGGTGGCTCCGCTCGTGCCGCTCCAATGTTGCCTGTCGCGCAAACATCTTTCCGCAGACGGAGCATTTGAAATTTTTATCTGCATCGTCAGCTCGAGCTCGAAAAACACTTGGCATGCACTTACAATTACTGTGAGTCAGAAAATGCCCCTGCAGCTTCGACTTTTGCGAAAACGGCTCATCCGGCCGGTGACACCCCTCCCAGCAACAGTAATATCCCGTGCCCTTGGCGCCATCTACGGTCGCCATGTGGCACGCCACGAGATGTTCCTGCAGACCGCATGCATCGGCAAAGGTGGCGCCGCAGGGCAGCTTGGTCCCGTCGGCTTTCGAGGTCCATCGACAGATGTATATCTCGGTATCGGGAGTGTATTCCGGACTGGTCAAGACGGACGAGGTACCCCCTTCCAGCGGGGGTGGCGTCTCTCCCGGGCTCAACTGGGAACTCACACTGGACCGCGAGTGGCGTGAGTATGGTGAATAGGAATGGACATGGTGTCCGTGCGTGCGACACCGATGAACATGCGTGCGGCATGGCTTCCAATTATTGGTTGGCTTCTGCGCCGGAGCTGGGCTCTTCACTTCGTTCGGAGGATGGTGGTGGTGAGGATGATGAGGGATGTGGAAGCAGGTAAACGAGTTCGAGGCCGCATCATCGGCAGGTTTGTCCTGCTCAGAACAGTTCTGCACTTCGTGGACGTGGAATTGATGGCACGCAGACAGGTCAGGGCACATCATGTGGAATACATCCGCCGGGTTGACTGCGTTTTGCAGAGGTAACCACGGATTTGCTGCGTGGTGGGCATCCTTAGATATATCATGACAGTGGAAATGCTGATGACTGTGGGAGTGACAGTGAGACGCAGGTGCGTAAGGGTTGAAGAATGCATCACTAGGTGCAGAGGGTACCATGCCCGTGGGCTGCGCCATGGTCTTGGGCTGCTCTACCTGCGACTGTGGCACGGAAGTCGGGGATAATAGGTCAGTTGTGTCGAGGTTGAGAGGAGTTCCCAACCCTAATAGCGACTCCAAACTGTGTTCGCCATCAATGTTGGTGCCCGTACCGAAGCAGTGTTCATCAAAGCAGACCGGGTCGGTGTTCTCGCAATGATCTTCGTCGCAATGCGACACAGAGCACACTGCAGCATCACCACATTCAATGAAGCCGTCGCAGACGGAGGGGCAGGTGATGGAACAGTCGTCGACATCACAACAGTCCTCCTCGACATTGCAGTCGTCATCCCCATTGCATGGCGGCACCGGGGTGTGATGTACCTGGTCGGAGCAATTCCATTGGACTGGCTGTGCCTCCGAGACATCTTCTGTCTCCTTTCCATCGAGGTGGAACGCCTCCCAGTGGCATTCAAGGCAGAAATCGTCTTTTTTCGTGTGAGAAGCCATGGTGTCGATGATGATCGACAGGCTTAGATGATAGACAGAAGAGTCCCCAGTCAACCGCGAGGCTGAACTTTTATCACACTGAAGAGGGGATGGTGAACGGGACAAACCGCCAGAGAAGCTCTGAGGCGGGGGGGGAAAGGAGTAGGATGATCTGGGGTGTGCCTGTCTTTGTCTGACGCAGAGCACGCAAGTGGCAAGTTAGCTTGCCCTCCACACCACGCGAGCGGAAACAGAGATACTCTTACCAATCAAACAAACTGCAATCAAGGTCGGCAATGCAGAGATCGTCCAACGGGAGGCTAGAGGGCCAGTGGTGCGACTGGACAATGCGCAGAAATCACCAAGAATGAAGAACAGCCGATAGAAACGTCGGAGAGGGAAAAGACAGACCGCCTGAAAGCGATGGGATGAGGACCTTGGGGGCCAGCATGAGAGGCGGGTGACAGACGATGGTGGGCGAACAGGATAGTTCAGAGGTAGTATGGATCAGGGAGCGAGTAGGAGTTGGTAGAGAGCGCGAGAGAGTGGAGATGGTGGTTGATGGAGGAGGAGAGGATACAGCGCAGTAGGGCTCTTTTTCGGTAAGGTTACCGTCGCGATACGGGGCAGATCTCAATCGGTAATTTGGGGACCTTGGGGACGAGGACCTTGGGGGATGGCGTCATTAGTTTCTGGTCGCCGCAGCGAATGATACTCCTCCCAATGTCAGAATTTTTCTCTGTATAATTATCAGTGATTCCTGTCTTCTTCATAAGTACTTTTTTTATATCAGCAATTACCATTCAATAAGGGATAGTCAAGGACTGTGCTTGCAACCCTGAAGATCCCTCGAGGAAAGAGAGTGAGAACCTTGGGGCCAGGCGGAGAAAAATCTGGCCGGATTCTGCCCGGCAATACTTAGTTGCCGCCTTGGGCTGAAGTGGGACAGCATCCAGTGCACATAAATGATGCCCTCCTGCATATTGGTGTGTTTGAGGTTGATACTGTTTGATTGACCCAGACGGGAGTAACATCGGTACCCCATTTAGGAAGGACTCGATCTCTACCTAATATGTCTTATCAATGATTAGTGAATATGAAAAATACCAGTAAACAACATCACCTGACTGACATTACTGCAGCAAAGTTTCACCACCACAACCTTGTCTGTCCATCGGTGAACTCTGAGTCTCTGACTTAGCAGTAAATTGATGCAGATCAAAAAGGAAACAATATATTCTCAGAAATCCATATATCACTTGAATGAAACATATGTATCTCCAAACAAGAATCTACAGAAACTTTTCGTAGATACTAATTAACCCCTCCCCCTCACAGCCGCGTTCCCCATTCCCCATGTGCCAATTACAATTAACATTACCGACTAACGGATAACGCTACCCACGTGCCCGCCCGCTGCCTCCGGACCGGATCCTCCTCCGCGTCACTATCATTATCACTGTTACCTATCAACCTCACTATCTTCCCCATACTATCCACAATCTACCACAACCTTTAACTCACTATCTACTATCAACCCTCCACACTCAACACAGTCCATCCTTAACAATACAATAACCTTCTCATACAAGCCCACCAATCACCCAATCACCCACCCACCATCCACCATCCACCATCCAAACCTTCCCCGCACGAACCACCACCGCACAACAAAGCCACACCAAAAACATGGGCAACATCTGCTCCAAATCCTCAAACCAACCGGACGCCTTCTCCTCCCCCGGTCGTGTCCTCGGCTCAGGCCCGAACCCCCCAGCAAAAGATTCCTCTTCCGCCCCGCGCGCCCCGCTCCCTTCCAACGCCAAACCCGCCTCGAACTGGGGTTCTGGACCCTCTGGACGGACGTTAGGGTCGCCTGCTGCTGGGGAAGGTAATGGGGATAATGCGACTGCGGATGCGAGGACGAAAGCTGCGTTGGCGGCGCAGGTGTGTATTCCTTCCTTTCCTTTAACAGTGATATTTTCTGGTGGGTTTATCTACTAGGGCTACTAGGCTAATGTTACAACTACGATTGGAACAGAAACGAGCCGAGTCCGCATCTGCAGCCGGGAGTAAAGGAAAACTAGGCACCAAGTTAGCGGCGCAGAAGGCGCAGACGCAGAATCAGACGTTGAATGAGGCTAGTCGGGATGAGGTGGCTGCTAGGGACGCCGATGGGGCGGCGGAGGCGAGGAGGTGGCAGTAGTATGTAGTATTACTACTACTCTGTATCTGTATGTGGGTGGGGGGCTTGTGGTTTTGGTTGCGTGGAGTTGATATATTTATGGGTGTGTGCGTGAGCGGTTTAGCGGGATATATTACTGCCTTTTTCGGTTTGTTAAGACTTGTGTTTACTGTTGATACCAGAGCAACCTAGTTTATCTTATCGTTGTTTTCCTCTATTTCATGTCTACATGAGATGGTCATCTGGAGTTAGAATGCCTATCGATAATATGTCTATGGTACAACGATATACTAAACCACGTTGTAGCGGCCTCCCACGGGTGCCCGTGCGTCGCTGTCCGCCGCCGCGATGGTGCCCTCCTTCAGCAGTCGCATCAACTCGCGCATGGCGTTCGTCACGGCCAGCTCCGTTTCTCCTTCAACAAGAATATACAACTTGGGGTTCTCGCCAGGCCCAGGCACCTTGCCCGTAGGATAGAAGCTGCCCTTTGTAGTGATGGATGTACCCGTGGCCTCCAAAATCTTGGCCACGTTCGTGCGGTTGGTAACGGCCCACCGAGCTTTTTCTGTAAGGAAGTTAGCATCTGACACTCAATACAATGGGCGGTAGACTTACGAGGAAAGTCGTTGATTTCCAAGGTGGCGTGGAAGGCGCCGGCATCGGGCCCGCGATTGTCGATGGGCACTCCAGATCTCATCACTCCTGCGCGACTCAAGCGCGCGTGGATATCCGCAACGGCTGAGCCCACCTTGTCCAGTGGATTCTTGGACGTGCTGTTGGGATCCTTTTCGGTCTTGTGCACGGTAATCTTGCCATCAAGATCAATACCCTTTGGTACACCAGGCAGGGATGGAGCTGCCGTGGATTGCACAGACGAGATGGCCTTGTTGAATCGCTCCTCAGCCTGCTCATTCTTCTCTTCTTTCTCTTCCTCATCCTCGCCTTCTTCACCAGTCTTATACGTGCGCCGTTCACGCATACGAGCAGCATCACGCTCCTGGTCCAGACGCTCCAGACCCTTTCCACCGAATCCAGAGGCACTGGCCTTCTCCTTGCCGGCCTTGACCTTTTCCAGGAAAGCGTCGACCAGTTTCTGCACCGGCTCCGGCACCTTTTGTCCACTTTGTTTCAAGGCCTTGGCGATGTCGACGGAGTAGCGCTCTTGGTCCTCCGTGAGGAATGTGACCGCTGTTCCGGTATTACCGGCACGTCCCGTACGTCCTGCGCGGTGAACGTAATCTTCAAGATGGTTCGGTGCATCGTAGTTTACGACGAGCTTCAGTTGCTTAACATCCAGACCACGAGCGGCAACAGATGTGGCGATCAACACAGGGAAGATACCAGCCTTGAAATCCTCAATGGTCGAGTCACGGTCAATCTGATCTTTGCCTCCGTGGATGGACATGCATGGGTAACCCTTGCGCATGAGCTCACGAAGCAGGGCGTCAGCAGCTTCCTGACGATCAACGAAAATGAGAGCACGCGCGTCCTCATTCTCGTCGCTCGAATACAGGTTACCCAGGAGTTCCAGCAAACGCACGAACTTTTGGTCATCGTTGCGCACTTCGACTATCTGGGTGATTTCGGGAGCGACGACACTCTTGCCACCAACCACAATCTCAATCGGTTTTGTCAGGGTCTTGCGAGCCAGCGCTTCCATATTCCGAGGGAATGTAGCTGAGAAAAGCACCGTCTGCCGGTCAGGGCGAATGTTGGCCATGATTTTCATCACCTGTGGCTCGAAGCCCATATCGAACATCCGGTCTGCCTCGTCAAGGACCACATAAGTGACCCGGCGTAGATTAGTGACTCTACCAGCATTTGCTGCCAGTAGGTCGATCATTCGGCCCGGTGTGCAGACAATGATCTCAGCACCACGCTTTAGATCAGCAATTTGATCTTTAATGGGAGCGCCACCATAAGCACAAACGGCTCGGAGATTCAAAGCTTTGAGGAATGGCTTGCAGTCCTTGTGGATCTGCGTGGCCAATTCACGAGTAGGCGTCATGATCAGACCAACGGGACCTTCCATATTGTCCAGCGGCCGTTGATCCTTGATGTGTCGGAACATGGGAATTAAGAAGGCGATTGTTTTACCAGATCCCGTCTTAGCCACACCGATCACATCACGCCCGGACATAATCGCAGGAATGGCCTGAGCCTGGATCGAGGTAGTCTTCTCGTATCCCAACTTGTCGATTACGTCCAGAGTCTGCACTCCCAACCCGCATTGAGACCATTTCTGGACTGGCTTGGGAACATCAACACCACGGACTTTAATTCCGTCGAGTTCCAGACGCAAACTTGCCGCCTCTTCATCCGACATTTGTGCCAGATCAGAGGGCTCCGTGTAGAACTTCTTCCGGAAGGATTCATACTCAACCTTCTTGTGGTCAACGGTTGGGATATCCTTCTTCTTCTTGGCCTTGTTCGCAATAGCGAGGAAATCATCTGCATCCCCATCCCCGACGGCAGTCATATCAATATCATGCTCGTCACCGAACAAAGCCTCAGGCTGCTGCTCTTTGGTCTTCGAGAACTTGGCGCCGACCTTCTTCTTTGGTGGTGCCGACTCAGCAAGCTCTGACATGAATGCATCCAAAGGATCGACTTCCTCCTCTTCCTGAGCATCGACCTCCATGTTGTCGGCGGCTTCAGGAGCGTCGCCCATTACAGTGTCGCTCGATTCGGCACCATTGGACTGAGCTTTTATAGCTTCGCTCTGCAAGCGTTCTTCTCGCCTCTCCGCCGCAGCTCGTGCCGCAGCAGCAGCCTCTTCTTCGGTGCCGTCTTGCATGTCGACATCATCTTCATCCTCATCAGCGGCACCATCTGCAGCTCCATTGACATCCTTCGCGTCTTCTAATGGAGGCGTAGGTAGCCTTTCCAACTTCCTCCGTGTCGACTCTTCCTCTCCGAATCCTAAGGTCTTGGTAGCCGTTGTCTTTTCGGTATCTGCTGCTTGCTTGGTTCCTAGGCCAAAGCGACCAACGTTGCCTTTCGCCTTTAAAGTAGCTGTGAAGGAAATTAGCAAAGATCTCTATGACAATCGGAATTGAGAGAACAACATACCTGAAGCACCGCTTGTAGCGGGCTTGGGCTTAACCTGAGCGGGAATAGTAGTAACTGGCTTGACAGATGGCGGAACGGCAACATCATTGCCCAGCACCGCCGGGGGTGCGGGTGTAGAAGAAGCACTCTTTGCGATCGCCTTTGGATCAAACTTCCCAGTATATGTACCGGGAGTAGCATCAACGCCTGGTGTTGCAGGAGATTGGGGAGAACTGACAGCCGGTGACAAACCAGACTTGCGATCAATCTCTTCTAAGATACTTCTCGCTCCACCAGCTGCAGCAGCTTCTCGCTGTTTCCTTTCCTTCTCAGCGGCTTGTTTCTGCTTCCATGCCTCCAGCTTGGCGAGTCTCTCCGCCCTCTTTTCGTCCTCTGTCGGGGCCGCGGTGGCTGCTGGTGTTGACGGCTTCGAAGTCTATAATCCGTGTTAGATGCGTTTATCCAATGCGACAGGAAAAAGCAACGAGGACTGGCTTGGAGCTTACCTCACGAGACCTAGGGGCATCTTTAGCCCGATCCCGGCTATCGTCCCGTCTAGACTTGTACTTCAAGTCAGCAGAATCATCTGTCCGCCTTCGAGCCCTGTCGCGGGAATCTTCTCGCCTGCTTCGATAATCCCTATCGCGGCTTCGTCGACGGTAATCATCGCGCTCCCGGGACCGTCGTCGATCGCGAGAGCGTTCTCTCCGACCAGGTCGATAAGAGTCTTCGTCGCGTCTGTCTAGCGAGCGGTCACATCTCCGGTAAGCATCACGGTCGCGATCACGTTCGCGTTCACGGTATCGTCTCTGTAGCCAGGCGAAAGAGATTGTTAGAGCCGTCTAATGGCATCAGATGGAGAAAATGAGCTCATGCGTACCTCAGGGCTGCGCGATCGGCGATAACTCCTGCCAACGTCTCGCCGGCTCCTCTCATAGCGATCATCGTCTCTGCGATTCCGTCTGGATGAGGAATACGTGCTGCCTACAGGTGATGGTGAGCGAGTATCCCCGTGGCGAGCCATTGTTGCAGGCCAACGATGAGTGAGTATTACTGAGACTCAGGAAAAAGCTCGAGCACGTGGACAGGATACTAAAGTGAGTTTTACCCTTCCATTCAAATTATGAGAAACAGTTTAGTTATTTTCTGCGAAAACCAGGCACTGCCGATAGGAACCCGGTGGCGAGAACAGCTCAAGGTGTGGTCGAAGTGATGGTGTCCGACGGTCTGTTCTCTCCCAAACTAAAGAGGCTTTCGCGCCTCAGGCGGCGAGGGAGCCCACTTATCTATCACGTGATTGATACCGATATCAGTAATACTCACGTGAGAGCTTCATTACCCGATTCGGCATCTCCCAAACGACTGAGCTACGCGACCCCAGCCTCCCCGGTTTCGTCACTGACAGGCATCCTGCACAAGGGCGAATCCTTCGACTGATCGTTGTTTGGTCACTTAGCAACCTACCCTTTACATATTACTCCGGTTCTCCGATACGCGACTACCATTGTTCAGGGCCATGCCTTTGAACCTAGCTCGGTGCGGAGGGGGTGTTCTCCAACACCTCCAGCTTAGTGAGGCCTTCTCTCGTCCCGTTCGCCAGGCCATCTCTCAGAGTCATGTTAGACGCATGTCCCTCGCCGCTCTGAGTCGCTTCTCGACCCCCAATGTCAGATATGCACCTCTTTCCGCTGCCCTCTCCGGACACCTGACCAGCGGCTATGCGACTGCGGCTTCCCCCAAGGGGCGCGCCAGCACCAAATCGACTTCCACCAAGACGACCAAGTCTACGAAGTCCACCAAGACTACCAAGAAGCCCCGGGCAAAGAAGGTGCTCACCGATGAGCAGAAAGCCGCCAAGAAGGAAGCTAAGGAGAAGAGCGACTTGAGACAGCTTGTGAAGCAGCTGAAGGCTGCCTCTCTTACGCCGCCCAAGAGGCTCACCAACCACTTCACCCTGACTATGCTGAGCAAGCTTGAGGAGGTCAAGAAGGAAGGGAAGGGATTGAAGGGCAAGGAGGCATTCAAGGAGGCCGCCGACCGTGCCAAGAACATCAGTGAAGCCGAGCGCGAGGTTCGTTGGTTACAAAAAGACGTGAGAGGCTTCGTGATACTGACGTCTGTTTACAGCAATTTGTCGCTACTGCTGCTACCAACAAGGAAGCTTACGAGAAGGAATACAAGGAGTGGCTCGACTCGCACAGTCCCTTGGAGATTAAGCAAGCCAACGACGCCCGGCGAAGACTCGCCCAGATTCAGAACAAGAAGTTCTTCCCTCTTCATGACCCTCGCCTGGTCAAGCGCTCCAAGATCGCGTATTTGTTCTATGCCGAGGAACGCCATCAGGCTGGTGACCTCAAGTACATGTCCATCCCCGAGCGTGGTGTGCGGATTGCGGAAGAATGGCGAGGCATGACCGCTGCAGAGAAACAGGTATGCTTGCTGCGCCTCTCCTGAATTGTTGTCAGAAGGAATGCTAATGCAGCGAATAGAAATACGTGCGACTTCAAGAAGTTGATGCCGACCGGTACGCCCGGGAATACAAGGTCGTCTATGGCGAGGATCCCCCCTATGTGGGAAAGAACGCGACTAAATGAGCATCCTGTATAAGCATTGTGGTATGACTGTCAGGTAATGAGGTGGGACGATTGTTTCAATACCAGGAAGGTCGATTGTGTTTCAAGATTCTGCAGGCGGGTCCTAGGGATAATGGTGTGTCATTTGCCCACTCGGTCTTAGCTGCTTGCCTTCCATGTTTTCGTGCACCTGTATTCTCCATTTGTAACGTGTCTTGAGGGAATTGTACCCTATGAAAGGAAACATCCTTCCTTGTTGATCAAGTGCTCGTAGGAACAATGGGACGCCTGGCTGGGCTCACAAAAGCCGCATAGTCGCGATACAGTGACGTATCCCGAGCCACGTGCCTGCGCAGGAGTCATAGCCATCTATCCACAGCAACGATCAACGGTCTCCCACCCATAAGAGCTGAGACATTTCTCGTCCTCTGGATGTGTCGTTTTGGACGGGTATCTGCTTGGTCAAACTGCATATTGCTCGAGCGCAGCCTAGGATCTTCGAATTCTAGACCAACGCCATGTCCCTCAAGCCGATGACCGGTGAAGGGTCTACTGAGTCAATTAAGAGGTCGTCGTAAGAAGAACTACTTACTGCATGCTGCTTATTCAACGACATACGATAGATAGATGCACGCACATCTCCGGGTGTTGGGCATAAAAGATCGTATCCATGTGGTGGGTACGCATGCCCTGGGATGATGCAGCGGTCCGACGGACATATGAGTCATTGTCAACAAGCCGTACCTGACTTGCCCTCCAGGGCCCCGTAGTACCCTACCTACTCTTTCTCTCCCTGAACTGCATTGTATGCGGGCTGGCCCGTTCTTGCCGGGGTGTTTCAATTTAAAAGGGCGATTTAGCGCGTCAAGCTAGAAATGTCCCAATTTGGATACATGCAGAGACCGCAGACAGGGGAGTCTGCTATGATGAATAGTATCAACATATGGTATATGCATTCAACGCAACTCCCCAAGCAGTAACAGCCTGTAGATAGCAGCAACTAAGTGGCTGTAGAATCGGCGTGCATCACTGCATATGCTTTTCCGCGGCGGGGCACGGGAAACAGCCAGGGTCTAGAAAATGCATGCGATGCAGCAATTGCGGACGTTCGGAGATTCTCAACAGGATGGACAACTGTACAGCACACTCGGACGATAATGGGGGAGGAGACATACTCAGGCGGAGCTGGTGGATGTACATAGTGGTGTATCAGGACTAGTCTGACCGGATTAACTGCGACGGTGTCAAAGAGCCCCGACGAAGGGGAGCTGCGAATGGCCAGTGGTTGGGTCTCCGTTGCGCAGAACGTGATCTCATAGGCTGGTGGAGGGGTCTTTGCCTTCGATGCGGTGAAGAAAGAGGCCACCGCATCCACCCAAGAATGGGGTGGTCGTTTTATTTTTTCCTGACATCCGAGTTTCTCGCCGAATTTAGAACGAGAGGGGAGCAGAGGGCATTTTGGCTGCCTAAGAATGAGACTGGACGGGGTTTCTTGGATTTCCGCATGATGATGAATGCAAGTTCGGACCAATATTGGGAAATTATGCTGTTGTTGTTGCATAGATCTGGAGGCACGTGCGGTGGTAGATCGAAGAGATTGCGAGGCTCAGATGGAGGATCAATGAATTAATTCCCTCCATACAGTATTGACAGTAGGCAGGGACAGACAGCATCTGATATGTCCGACATGCGTGATATTGGAATGAATGGTGATTCTTCCTGTGTTTCTTTCTCTTGCAGTGATGCCCTATGCGACTTTCCATTGACCAGCCATTGATTTGTTTACTTTAGCTGCGGTAGATACTAGTCTAGTCTTAGTAAGTTACTTGGTAGATGTCCGCAAGTCGAACCAAGGAACCGGTGATCTTTTAGCTCCTCTTTTTCCTTCAGCAGACTTTCCATTTCCATCAAAGCAGTACAGTAATAATAATGTTCGACCCCACTTGATGCCGGGAAGAGAATGACAACGAATACCCTGGACTGTTTAAACCCTTTTTGGTAATGCTCTGAATACCCTTTGTCGGGCTCTCTCAGACTCCTTCCCCCCCCTTCTGAGTGATGACGGGCTCCTTTCTGCATGATAGGGAGGGAGGTCATTCCCGATGGTTACATACATATAGAGAGACCAATCTACCCGTCCAGAGGCATATGCGCAACCACTGCAAGTCAGTCAGTCAGTGTATGTACTTCCCAGTACATACCACCACTAAAGTACATACCTTCATAGTCCGACTCGTCGATCGCGCCAACGCTTTCCCACCGCGAAGGAGGGGGGCATTCGTTATCGATAGGAGCATCTGCCCACCGCCCCCGTCCTTGCGCGCAACCCAACCGGGTGTGTGACTGGCTTGTGCCTGCGTGACTACTGACTCCCTTTCATTATCCCATTGCTCGCCGGCTTTACTGCCGTTCTTCTCAAGTCTCACTTACAGTGTACATAACACCACAGTACTTACTCCTGGATACTTCTCAGTCCCTCGTTGGTCGCTGCATTGGATGCGCCAATAAAACTTTCATCCACATCCACATCCACAGACTCTCTCACCTACCGCGCCGTGCGACTATACCGGCATCTTCCCAGCGATCCCGCTGCCCCGTTGGCCCATTACCACTTCCCCAGCCACCGGGTTACGCTACTGGGCCTCGGAGAATCAAATCACACGCTTTTACTCCGTATACGCCGATCAATCAAATCAAAGAGCTGCTTGTAAACTTGAGCAGAATAGAAAAAAAAAGGTTTGCAGTCTCACTCATTTTTTCTTTCCCTCGAACTTTTTTATTTACTTTGGGTGGCACTCCCGCAGCCCGTCTTCAAGTATTACTTGCTTCTTCCATACTCACCTTCGAGCGACCGCTGATTTTCCCGACGTATACTAGTTCGCATTCCTCACTGTCCATCGCATACCAAATCATCCAATCCCATTCTCGCCTGGGAGGATCTTCCGCAGAATCGCGCTCCATTCCTTCTTTCCACGTCTGCCACCGCCCTAGGGTCATGAATTCCATGGCCTCTCCTCGTATCCCTGCTTCTCCCTGCTGAACTTCTTTCGTCAATCTAGATCTCCTCACTTCCTCTGACATTCCTTTTGAGGTCGATCGACTCCTGTCTCGCCCCATCTCCAGTCCTTATCGCAAGTTTCGGTCTGCCTGGCGTCTGACGTGACGTTTCGCGTGGTGTAACTACCATTAGTCCTGGGTCCTTCCCACTTTTGAGTCCCCGTCGTCTTTGAATTCATTGCTCCTGCGCTGTCGCCTATTTGTACGTCGATTTCGTCGCTCGAACGCCAACTGCCTCAATTGGGGCCGATAGTCCTTTGATATCCATGCGCCTGGCATAGAGCAGTCGCTGGTCGTCAGACGAGTGTCGGTCGTTTTTCCAGGATGGAGGTTATGCGGACAATCCCTCGTGATGAATTTGTATCTCCGCTGAGGGTACACTTCCCTTCCCCGCTGGGACCTGCCGAACGTCAGAAGGAAACATGCGACTTGTCATATGGCTGGCTGCAGATAGATGGTTTAACTTTGGAGTGTCTCGGGTCCCGAGGATACACCACCAAGAGTGGTGGTGAGTATTACGGCAAAGTCCTCCAAGTGGTGGAACATCAAAACAAGGTAAGTTCACGGTGAGGTCAATGGCAAATAAACTACTAGCCATGAGACTGCTGTTCCCGTTGCTAATGGCTAGACCTGTAAGCAGGATACAATATTATGGCGAAAACTAGGCTACGAATCATCGCGGGCTCTGGAAGCTGACATCCATGCCTTCGAGCCCGAAGGCTATGATGCACCACCGCCTACATATGACGATGTGATCAAAGATCTACCTCCACATTACGCTACGCTTGCTCCCTTAGCCCAGCGGAAGAGTCTTATCCAGGACTCTGCGCCCGCGCCCCCACAGACTACAGATGAGTCAAAGTCTAAGGGTGCATCGCGACCATTCGATTTTGGGTCTGCAACGGGCATTCGGGAAAGAGCAGGAAAGAAGAATAAGAAGAAGAAGACAGCCGCGCAACCCCAGCGACAGAGCACACCGCCGGCTGAGGAAGGTGGAGGCGACAAGCCAGAGGAGGGCGGCGGAGATGAGCAGAACGGTGATACCGGTGGAAATGGAGGAGGCGACTCTGGAGGTGGTGGCAATGGAGGAGATGACAATGGCCAAGATGGGAACGGCGACGGTAATAATGGAGAAGATGACGACTGGGGTGACTGGAATACGACAAGCACGAACAAGAGTAAGAAGAAAAAGAAACAGGAGGAAGAGGAAAAATTGAAGGAAGAAGAAGAGCAACGAAAACGGGAAGAAGAGGAACGGCTGGCCAAGGAAGAGGAGGAGAAGCGGGCTGCAGAAGAAGCCGCCGCCGCTGCCGCCGCTCCCCCCGACCTTAGCTGGGCAGATGACACTAATGCCAACGGTGACGATGGTTGGGGTTTTGCCACAACAACCAGCAAGAAAAAGAAGAAGAAAGACAAGGTATGTTATGCATCGTCGCTGCGATACAGGTGATAAATCTTAACTTGTCAACAGGGCGCCGACCCTAGCCCGCCCGAACCGGCGTCCAACGGGTTCCAAGACGTAAGCTTGAACGACAGTGCGCCGCAACTAGACTTGGGTCTGCCTCCAGCAGCGCCAGGGACGGGCTTCAGCTTTGGGAGCTGGGGTCAAGATTGGGGTTCTGGTGATAAATGGGGTCTTAACACCCTTAACGGCATGAAAGACGACAAGCCAAAAGATAATAGTAACCCCTGGTCCTTCTCCGGCACCAACGGCATGTCGAACGCCTCCGTTGGGTTCAGCTTCGGTGCGGACCTTGGAAGTACTCCAGCTGCCAACGAACCCCCTCCTGCCTCGGAGGAAAACAAGCCAGACGACGACTGGGGAATTCCTGTGACCAAGAAGGACAAGAAGAAAAAGAAGAAGGGGATTGAAGAGGAGTCGACACCCGACCTTCTTGCAGAAGAACCAACATCAGATAACGCCTGGCCGGGTGCTGAAGAGAAGAAGGAGCCAGAATTTGCTGATGATGACTGGGGATGGGGACCAACTGCCAAGAAAGACAAGAAAAAGAAGAAGGCTGACGAGCCTCTTCTTGAAGAACCCCCCGCCCCTGAACCTCCTGCCGCAGCCGATCCGCCGCCTGAAGATGACTGGAGCTCTCCCTGGGGCCCTGCGACCAAAAAGAAAGACAAGAAGGGTAAGAAGAATGCCCTCCTCGACGAGCCAGTCGTTGAGGAGCCAGCGCCTGCCGAGATAAAGGATGATGATTGGTCATCGGGCTGGGATGTCCCAAAGAAGGATAAGAAGAAAAAGGGCATGGTCTTTGAGCTAGAGCCGGAGCCAGAACCTGAACCAGTCGTGGAACCTGATCCCGAGCCCGAGAAGCCAGACTTGGGATTCCTGGAGAACCCCCTTTATAATAACTGGCATACACTCTCGTCCAAAGACCGGAAGAAACGTGAAAAATCACTGATCAAAAACGGACTTCCTATCCCCGGCAAGGACTTTGATCTTCCTGACCCGAATGCCGAGCCCCCTAAGGAACCGGAGCCAGAGCCAGAGCCAGCTCCTGAGCCCGAGCCCGAGCCCGAGCCGATAGCTGAACCTGAACCAGAGCCAGAACCTGAACCAGTCATTGAACCAGCGCCTGAGGTTGAACCGGAGCCCGCAAAGCCTGCCTTTGAAATTCCAGATACCCCTCTCTATAATAACTGGCATATATTATCATCCAAAGACCGGAAAAAACGTGAAAAATCACTGATCAAAGCCGGACTTCCCATCCCCGGCAAAGATTTTGATCTTCCTGATCCGAATGCCGAGCCACCTAAGGAACCGGAGCCGGAGCCAGAGCCAATTCAAGAACCTGATCCAATCCCGGAAGCTGAACCTGAGCCTGAGCCCGAGCCTGAGCCTGAACCAGAGCCCGAGCCGGTAGCTGAACCTGAACCCGAGCCTGAGCCTGAAGTCAAAGCTCCTGAGATACCTGACAGTCCTCTCTATAACAACTGGCACACACTCTCATCAAAAGATCGGAAGAAACGTGAAAAATCATTGATAAAGAGTGGACTTCCGATTCCTGGTAAAGATTTTGAGCTTCCTGATCCCAATGCTGAGCCCCCCAAAGCGCCGGAGCCGGAGCCTGAGCCAGAGCCAGAGCCACTTCAGGAACCGGAGCCAGCTCCTGAGCCAGAGCCTGAGCCAGAGCCACCAGCTGAGCCTGAACCTGAACCGATCCCAGAAGCTGAGCCTGAGCCTGAGATCAAGGTTCCGGAGATACCAGACAGTCCTCTCTATAATAACTGGCACAATTTGTCATCCAAAGACCGGAAGAAGCGTGAGAAAACATTGATTAAGAACGGACTTCCTATCCCGGGTAAAGATTTTGAGCTTCCTGATCCGAATGCTGAGCCACCTAAAGAGCCTGAGCCTGAGCCAGTACCTGAGCCTGTTCAAGAAGAGCCGGCGCCACCTCCAGCCCCAGAACCGGAGCCTGAACCTGAGCCAGCTTGGGAGCCACAGCCAGAGCCTGCGCCCGAGCCTGTCCCTGAAGTGGTTCCAGAAAAGACTTATGAGGAGGAGAGCTGGGGGATATGGAACGCTCCAAAGGAAAAGAAAAAGAAGAAGAGCAAGATCGCAGCTGAGCCTCCACCGCCCGCACCGACACCGCCCTCTTTGGGATGGACTGCCGAGCCGGAGGGATATGTACCTACTGACCAAGTCCCCGAACAGCCTCTCTGGGATGACTACGACAGCAAGCCTTCGAAGAGCAATAAGAAGAGTTACAAGGAGGAAGAGACACCTAAGAGTGGCATGGGTTTCTGGGCCACCATAGGTGCTGCAACTATGGGCAAACCCAAGACTACAAAGAAAAAGTCATCAGAGAAGACTAAAGCCATAGAGGCGGCACCAGAGCCCGAGCCCGAACCTGAACCTCTACCAAGTCATCCTGCAGAGGATGACTTACTTATTGACGTTGACGATTCAAAGATGCCCGAGGCGCCCGAAGCGCCAATCCCGCCAGTTGTCGACGAACCACCCGCGCCAGCCGCGCCGCCAGCGAAGACTCCCGTTGTCACCTCGAAGACCAAGTCATCGGCCAAATTGTCCGTCTCAGAGCGAATCAAAGTTTTGGAGCAAGGGAAGAAGGGGAAATCAAAGGAAAAGGTTGCCAAGGAAGAGCCTGCCCCACCCCCAGAGGAACCTCCTGCTCCCCCGCAACCCGAGCCTGTCGAGTTCTTTGACCCCGAACCGGTTCAGTTTAAAAAGCCCTCGAGGGATTTGGTTCCAGGCAGTTTCCCAGACGCATTCGACGACGAGGAGGACTTTTACGATATACCCCCGCCACCTGCCCCGGAACCGCCTGCTCCAGAGCCGGAACCTCAGTTTGAGCCAGAACCTGAGCCTCAACAACCTGAGCCCGTGCCCGAGCCCGAGCCGGTGCCTTTGTCAAAGAAATCAAAGAAGAAGGACAAAAAGAAGGCGAAGGCTATTGTACTTGAACCTGTGCCTGAGCCGGTACCTGAACCAGTTCCTGAGCCTGTACTTGAACCACCGGCTCCTGAGCCCGTGCCTGAGCCGGTCCCTGAGCCTGTTGCAGAACCAGAGCCAGAACCCCAACCCGAGCCGGAACCCGAGCCAGCCCCCGCACCTGTTCCCATCTCAAAAACTGAAAAGAAGAAGAAAAAGAAGAAGGTCATTGAGCCAGAACCGATTCCTGAGCCAGTGCAAGAACCGGAACCCGCTTTTGAACCTGAACCTGAGCCGGAGCCAATAGCTGAACCTGAACCCGAGCCCGTACCTGAGCTCGAGCCTGAGGTCGTTCCTGCTCCTGCTCCCGAGCCTCCGATCGAGCAAGCACGGGATATAGAGCCGGTGATCGACGAAGCACCTGCTCCCAAGCCTGAAAAGCCGAAGAAACGGACCAAAAAGGTATCCAGTCGAGAAAAAGCACCTCCGGTCGTGGAACCAGCCCCTGCCGATGCCGAGATTGGCGAAGCAGCGGCAGAAGTTGATGTAGGCGCGGGCGGCCCTCCTACGCCTCCACCAGAGCCTGCCGAGCCTACCGAGCCCGCCGAGCCTGAACCAGAGAAGCCGGCCAGGAAGGAGCGTGTCCGTGTTGAGCGCACTCCTGGTTCAGCATCCTGGGGATTTTGGGGTGCAACGCCTCAAAAGCAGCCCAGCACTAGGGAACATCGGCGTAGACGGGAACGTGAACGGGAACGGGAACGGGAACAGTCACCCCCACCTATGGTCAGGTCGAGATCGACCAGACAACCAAGGTCTAGGGATCTCGAGAACGAGGGAGAGAAGTCGACCTCTGACAAGGATAAACGTAATAGCCGAGGTATGACTCTTGCTGATTTTGTCCTGGGCACGCCGCCGCCGCCGCCGAGTAGGACAAAGTCCAGTCGAAGACACGGAGCACACGCATCCAGAGCTACTTCGAGGCGTCCATCTGTGGGTATGGACGACGCCGGGTTCCTCAGCCCTCCACCGGACGATAGCCGGGATATGCCGGATAAAGCCGCCAGGATGATGGGCGTGCACGGTTCCTCCCGGAGGGAAAGAGAGAGACGGCATGAATCTCGTAGAAGATCTCGTAAGTACTCTCTTATATAACTGCCTGTAGCGCTGCTAACAGTTTTCTTAGGCGCTCCTGATCCGTATGCAGTCGAAGACGAGGACATCGTCATGGTAGACCGGGACGACATTGATGCCCCGAAGGAGGGCTCAAGGGGATCAAGGCACTCCGACAGACGATCGAGGAGAAAGGTGAGCAAGATTTCAGTGATATCATCCATAAACTTCTGTCACAATGCTAACTTCGTGCGTAGTCTCGGTCCAGACAAGAAGAGCATTATGAAGATGCTGAAGTGTTTTCGGGACCAGAAGATATTGCTTTCGTGGAAGCACCAAGAGAGCGACGCGTGAGACGATCAAGTACTGCTCCCAAGAAACCAGAGCCCACTGGTCTCATGGGCTTCATCGGCTCTTTGCGGAAGAACGCTCGTCCGGACCCTCCAGAGCGCCGAAAGTCCAGGTCTCATCGTGATGAGGATGCTAGGTACATGACAGAGCCAGAGCGAGAGGAACGGCGTGCAAGACGCGAAGCTCGCAGGAGACGTGCCGAAAAAGAGGCTGAGCTTGACGGCTTTGTCACTGAGGGTGGTCCAGTAGGTGGGTTCCCGGAAACCGACATGGACGAAGTTGAAGCTAGACGGGCAGCACGTCGAGCAAAGCGATCCTCTCGACAGGCGCCCTCAGATCAGCTCCGTGAGAGCGAGTGGCGCGAAGCCGAAGAAAGACGTGCTCGACGGAGGGAAAGAGAGAGAGCTCGTGAGCAAGAGATGCAGGAGAGAATGCTCCGAGAGGAGGAAGAGCGGGAAGCAAGACGCCAGGAAGAGCGAAGGCTTCGTAGAGCAGCTCGTGAAGAGCGCCGTGCTCGTGAAGAAGCAGAGGCCCGCGAGGCAGAAGAGCAGGCCGAAGCCGAAGCCAGAGCAGCAGAACGGCGCGAACGCAGACGGCGGAGGGAGGCAGAGATGCAAGAAGCCGCCGCGTACGAGCCCCGGTCCAAACGTCGATCCTCTCGTCACCCCGTCGATGACAGAGCAGCCCGAGAATTCTATCTCGGCGGCTACGATGGCGAGAGGGCTTACCGTCCGGAACGGTCTACACAAGAGGGGGTGAGGCCCAAACGTCGCAGGTCCAGGGCTCCAGAACCGGAGCGCGCACCACCGATGATGTCCGGAGGACGCAAGGATAAAACTTCGTCCTGGGTGCATTCGCAAGCCAGCGACCCGCCTGAACCACCACCGGTCGTGGCCACCGTATTGGACATGCCACCTGGTCCAGGTGAGCCGGCCCAGGCGAACTCGGTCTCCTCGGACGAGGAGGCACGACGTGAGCTGCGGCGTCGGGCCCGACGACGAGCCAGATATCCTGGCATGACGGATCAGGAAATCGACGAGTTGCGGGCGCGAAAGCGCGAGGCTAGACGGTCTGAGCGTAGTTCAGGCAGCGCAGATTACGAACGGGTCCGGGGCATGAGGTCGTACGACGATCGTTATGCACCGCCAGTCAATGGACCCAGGATGCCGAATTGGTTCAAGAGACTGACCAATTTGGGTTGAGCTGGTGGTTTGGGGTATTGAAATGAGGATGTTTCTTTTCTTTACGAATGGAATGACGAATGACATGAAGCGATATTTGCCATTGAAGGGATATACGATTTGGCCATGATGTACGATTAACTTACTGAGAATGGACTCTGCTTGATGGATATACCAGAGTGAATGAACCTGATGACTTTATACCCTCTTCACATTGTAGCTGTACATCCCACCCACTCAAGACGATGCCATCTCCCTCTCCCTCCGTCTATTCTCCAAAAACCCCCTCCCACCCTCATACACACAAAGATACACCCCAAACGAAACCGCCGTCCACACAGACCGTATCGCCCCTCCCTTGAACAACCCCTTGACCCCTTCCTCTCTATACACCTTCTTTCCTACTTCCCACGCCCCCCACCTCCTCCTTTCTCCCCTCTTCTCCCCACTACCAGTAATATCATTGCTGGTAGAACTCCCAGCCCCCAACATCATCCTCGTCTTAACCACATCCACCGGCGTCGTCACAACAGACGAAACCGTCCCAGCAATAGCAGCAGAAACTCCCGTGATAAGAGCCCTCTGCACATTCCCAAACTGTCCCAACACATCCCTATCCCCTCCTCCTCCTTTTTCCCCATCTCCTTCATCCCCCTTCCGACACCGAAGTAAATACCCCGCCCCCAACCCCCTCAAATACTCAAAAAGAGGAAAATTCAGCCCCGTAAAGGGCAGGTTCCGGCCCAGGAGCGCGGTATATCCACTCCAGAGGGATAATGGTCTGTGGCGGAACTTGCGCAGCGTGAGGAGGGTTATATTTGTTTTTGATCTTGTGCTTGATGGTGGTTTCTTTGGGTCATTGGGATAGAGATTGGGATTGGGATTGGTGTATACCTGCGCATTCTGCTTAATCACCTCCGCAGGAGTCAAAATAAAGCAAGAGACGGATTCAGCGACGCAGGAGGAGAGCGAGTGGATTATTGGTGTTGGAAGGGGAGATTGTTGTGTAGTGGTGAGAGTGTGTTTTAGGCCTTCGTAGGTGGTGAAGAATGCTCCTGCTGTCTCATCATCATACATATTAATTTCATTATCTACTAATCTGTATAATGTGGATGATTTGGGGTAGTATATGTTATGAATGCTAGAGGGGATTGGGGCATACAAGCTGGTAAAGTAGCGAGAATGACGCTCCCTACGCCTTGGTAGAGACCCCTGAAGAGGAGTTTACGGTTAATTGCCCCAGTTGTAGCGTCTTTGTATATTTGGTTGTATGTTGGAGATTGAATGCGCGTTTTGAGCGTGTCGATGGGGTAGACGAGGAAGTCGACGATTAGGACGGCGAAGGCGCCGGACTGGTTGTTTCTTCTTTAGTCTTGGTTATAGGTGGGTTGCTGTTGGGTGTTTGGGTGGACTAACCAGCCAGATGTCAGTGTTGGTATTGTACATCATGCATAATATCTATTGAAACAGGAATTGAGTCTATGTTCATTGGAAATACTAGGTAAGGCATGATCTTATCTAGTAGTATCTATCTCGTTATCGATGAGGTCATCACCACGTGCCTGTAACTGGCCTTGCCCTAAGGCGGAATTAGGGCTGGATCAGCTACTCTTTAATCATAATCAATACAATAAGAGGTAAAGAGCAGCAGCAGTAGCAGCAGTCAAGTAAGGAGGTATGGTATCAAGTCATGCCCGTTCTAATTCTCATGGAAGAAGCAAACAGGAGTCATATTAACAGCCCGTCAGATACAGAAGTTTTCCCTCCCTACGCCGTAAGGTCATGCAATTCCAAGAACTAATCATCATCGCCCGCCTTTCCTATTTTCCTTTCCTAGCCGTTCCTCCGCATCCATCTATTTGGCCGACTCACCCGGAAGCAGGTTGCCCTTGACGGCGAACATCTTACCCGTCGTCGCGGACACGAAGCTGTCGACCTGGCGAGCGTACTGCTCCACCTGGCGGCTGTTGAGCATGCTGTCCAGGCGGCTGGGCTCCTGGGGCAGCTTGAACAGCCGCTGCCACTCGTCCTCAGGGAGAAGGGGCTGCTTGAGAGCCGCGCGGCTGGCGTTCTCGGTCTTGCGCTTGTTCTGCCACGCGGTGATCTTGGCCTGCTCACGGGCGAGCGACCGCTGGTAGTACTGGAAGTTGTTGGTCTCGGTGTGGTGCACCTCGATGCTGTCAAGCAGGAGGTCGCAGTTCTTCTCCAGGAACGGGTCGATGCTAAGAGAGAGGTTGTCGAAGTTGGGCGCCAGCACGGACGACTTGGCGTACTGAGACGACTCCAAGGCGGCCAGGGACGGGGGGAGATCGGAGGGAGTCGCCTGGACGGGGGTCTGGAGCTGGTGGATGAAGGAGGTGATCAGGTGAGAGTTGTGGATTTCAACGGGGAGCTCGACCAGGATGTCCTGGTACCTGAGGTTGGACTTTTGCAGCCTGCCAGAAAAAACCAATTAGTATATGTCTATCATCCCTCCGAGTCAAGGGTATCGTACTCCTCAGAAGTGAACTTGTTCTCCTTGAAAGCCGCCATGAACTTAGGAGACAGGCGGAAAGCGCGCAGGCTCAGGCTTCCCTGTGCGCTGCGGCTAACATCGTGCACCAGAGCGACCGTGCGCTCGTTCATATCCTTCTGGTAAAAGAACTGGTTCTCGATCACGTTCATGTTGACGAAGTTGCCCATGTTGGCGCTGGTGTACCAACCGACGTTGTTGGCGTCAACGTTGACCTCGCGCATCATGCGGACCATCTCGGCCTCGTAGGCGGCGTTGGCCTTTGCGCGGGGGGCAGCAGCAGCCGGGTTGGGAGCGGCGTTGTCAAAGTGGGATTCGGCGGGCACCTCAACGACGGGGAAAGGGAAGCAGTTGGTGATCTCCAGGGTACCGTCGACATCCATACCAACGATCGAACCGGTCGCAGTCGTCGGGAAGGCTTGAGAGCCGTGCTTGATGATCTTCATCACGACCTGTATGCCACGCTGTAAGCATTGCTGCCGGCCGTGAAAAAGGCGGGTGGGGGAATGGGGAGATTTTCATGGTGTGCATACCAAGGCCTCGACCTTGACGGCCGTGAGAGGGACTTCTTTCCTATTGCAAGCATTAGTATACAAATGCCCAGATCAGATCAAGCAGACCAGGAAGACTTACTCCGCCATGTTGAATATGTGCCTGGGAATTGCGTATACAGACGGCGACAATGAGATGGCAGTCGGCGGCGAGGTTTGTGTGGATGGAATTCAGCATTTCCCACCGCCTAGCCCCCAATCCGGCTAGCGTGCCAAGCCCCATACGAGCCGCCGGTCCGCTTGCCTTTTTTGGTACTTTCAATCCCCCTTGCATAACTTTACGCTCAAAAGCATCGTTTCTGCCAGAGGATATTTATTTCACTATGAACTATGCTATCATGAGATTATAAACTTCCAATTGAGGCAAATATGCTGAAAATACTCCACCTAATGATGCCGTACCCGGGTCCCGGGGGGAACACTAACAATGACCTTATCTACGGAGTTACATCCGCAGATTCCCAAGCCAACTAACCAACGCTATCACTAACCCCTCACTAACCAGCCCAGTACTTCTACATAAACCAAGCAAGCATCTCTCATCCACAGACAATAGCACCTATACCAAATACTTACACAATCAAACAACATCAACAATGGGCCAAACACACCCCTCCAAACCCGCAACACCTTCTCCCTCCATCGAAACCTTCCCCTACGGCACCGATCACAGCCTCCAAACCGTGACAGTGGCCACTCTCAACAACGACAACAAAGAAGGCTACTGGGTGATGTAAATACCCCCTACTCAACCCTCTATATACACAAACTAAGCAATCAACTACACAGTCTAATCCACGGCGGCGCCTGGCGCGACCCAACCCAAACCGCCACAAACTACCTAACCCCCGCCCTGAGCACCCTCACCAGCAATCCCTCATACACCAACAACACCTCCCACCTCAAAGGCATCGCCTCAATCTCCTACCGTCTCAGCCCGCACCCATCACACCCTCAAGACCCCCAAACCACCGAGCCCACACACCTCCGCGCCGCAAAGCACCCGGATCACATCTCCGATGTGCAATCCGCGCTGTCCTTCCTGCAAGGGAAATACAATATCGGGAGGAACTACATCCTAGTGGGACATAGTTGTGGTGCTACGCTGGCGTTTCAGTCTGTGATGGGGAGGTTTCGGGACTTGTTGAAGGGGGAGGAAATTCTGCCTCCTCCGGTGGGGATTGTGGGGATGGCAGGGATTTATGATCTTCGGTTGTTGAGGGATACGCATCGGAGTGTGAGTGCGTATCAGGTTTTCAGTGAGGGGGCGTTTGGGGCTGATGAGGCGGTTTGGGATGAGGTGTCGCCTGCTTTGGGGAGGGGAGAGGAGGGGGTTTGTGGTGGGTGGAGTGGGATTGGGGATGGGGATCGCTTGGTGGCGGTGTTGGCGTATTCCGGGGGTGATAGTCTGGTGGATCCGGGGCAGAGGGAGGTGATGAGGAAGGCTTTGGAGGAGGAGTGGGTGGGTGGTGGAAGGGGGAGTGAGGAGAGGGTGGTGGAGATGTTGGATATTGAGGGCGATCATAATGATGCGTGGGAGAAGGGAGAGGATTTGGCGAGGGCGATTTCGTTTGCGATTGAGAAGGTGAGGGGTCAGTAGGCAGGCTAGATGAATTACGTAGAGTAATGGATGGATGGATGAATGACGAGCATGTAGTTCATTATGTCCCCTCTGTCTCTGTTCCTGACCGAAACTAAGGTATTCTACATAAGAGCCGAACCCGCCATGTCTGAGTGATCTTGAAGTCACGGGAGACATACCCGAGGGATAAACTAGTACACATTAGAAGCAGAGGAAAACAGACCCGCCATCTTCGAAACTTCCAACGCCCACCAGTGTTCGTGATCATTATTGCAGTGAACATGAGATAATGAAATTGTAAAGACCCGTCATACGCCCGGGATTTCAGAAAGCCGTTAGCCGGAAGACGCGTATGTGTTTAGAGGAAAGAGAAAAA